AGTAGAGTTTAACATTAAAGGGCACCTATTTTCCCCCTTTTTAAAAATGTAAGATAAGTCTCTTGTGTCTTTAGAATGTGTCTGTAAAGTTTCAGCTCAAAACACGAATTATATTGATTATTATTCCTTTCAGAAGTTTGTAATTTTCAGCTCTGAACACAACGTAGCTGTTTTTGTTGCCTGTGCCTATAATGCAAATGAGCTAGTTCTCCCACCCACCATTCCCTTGTGCCTGTCAGAGTGTGCCTCAATCCCCTGTTGCGTCAGATTTAACAGCAGAGTGACAGACATGAAGGAAGCAGTTCTCACGTGAAGTTTGTGAGAAATACTGCAGTAAGAACTTTCCCAATGATTATTTTATGTATTTTTTGTAGAGTTAATTCAAGCCTATCTGCAACCAAGAGTCTCACACAATGTTGTTACAAAGTTCGCCCACACACACAGACCCGTAAACAGCATGCATGTTTAACTTTGCAGTAAACATGACAGGATACACATTAATATCCACTGCTGTGTGGATATTCGTTATGTTAATGTAAAAAATAAAACAGATTTAACGTCTACAAACAGAGATTGAAGCGTCTTCTTTTACATTTGTACTGACACTCGACCATGGTGATGAATTACAGAAATTTTACAATCTTCATTACAAACATGCACTGCTTAAAAAATATTTTAAACTTGTAAAACTTATTCTTGATCATATTTGATGATGATTGATGATCACAGAGCGCTGAACAGGTCTTTTCATCCCAGTTGCTTTGCGCATGTTCTGTCTTGTTCTTGATATGATTATACACACTACTACGGAGACATGTTAATACGTGGCTGTCAATCAATTCGGCGGGAGGAGAAACCACAGTCCTACGTCACATTGTGGTGGGTCTCAAAATGGAAGGGATTTGGATCCTATTTTAACATAAACGTTTATATCACTCCAATAAGACTGTGGACACACTATACCTACACACAGTTCTGTCCAAACAGCTTGATTTTAATACAGGTGCCTTTTAAGCCTATTTCAGCCAGTCGTGCAGTATGTCTACAACTTTAGCAAGTTATTCTTCAAATATCCAGGAGTTTAAAAATTCCCTACAGAGAAAACACTAATAGATCTTAGCGAAGCATCGCTAATAAGGGGAAAAACGAGGAACAGAAGAGTCTCTCACACATGTAAATGAACTGGTGTTTTTTATTCAGGACGTTTTACAGGTCAAAGTGAGCCCACACCTTAAAAACAAACTCTCTATCAGACAAATAAACCAGTGAAAGGTGCTCTGTGAGCGCAGGAAGAAAAAAAAAATCCACAAACACTCTACAACTCAAACTTAAGGCAGAGCGGACAAACGTCCATCTCTCACAGCAGAATGTGACATCAGTGAGAACTGGAGCCGTGCTCACAAACCATTCACAGGCAGATCTGTGTGCTGGATTCAGGAGAAACAGCAATAAGTGAGCACTAGTGCCAGTGTGAGTGTACTCCTTTATACACATTGGTGTAATTATTATCATCTTTAAGCTCTAAGCATGTAAATATAGACCCCAAAATCTTAAGACTACTCTACATCGTGTTAGGTGTAAAAGTTGAAGGAATGACAAACTCTCACAGGCAAACAACAGAACAGTCATTTAGCGTGTATATAACAACATGACACGTGTATGTGTGTGTGTGTGTGTGTTTTAAATATAAACAACTTTTCAAACTAGCAAAAGGTGCATTGTTAATCTTCAAGAAGAAAAGAAGTGTCTTTTTTTCCTCGTTCAAAGAGAACGTCCTCACTCTAAGACAAGAGCGCAAGCGATAAACCTACAGAGAATCCAAATAAAAGCATTTAAAAACGGACGCGCTCTCTTTAAGACATGCTGACTTCATAAGCAAGTTTCAGCATGTGAGATACAGCAGTCCAGCCTGGGATCTGCTTCTTGTAGACAGTGTATATTCCAACAAGCTATTATTCAGAAGCAATTTTGCCCCTCAATTCTGCGATACTATAGTAGTCAACGTTTGAAGTGGTTCAAATGCCTTGTCCTAAAAATATTCAACATCCATTCTTGATCCACATTAAACATTGACTACTGTAGAATACGGGGAACAAATAAACAAAGCAGCACAAATTTTTAAAAAAATTCTCAAATTCATTCATAACACTCCAGCACTCGCAATTAAAACATGCAACAACACAGCCCTCAGACAGCATATCCAGCCATGACTATTATATATTAATAAAAAATCATAACAATAATACACATCCAGACCTAAGACGGTCACATATTGCTCTAAGGATTTAAAAAACAAAAACAAATGCATCATTCAAACTTGATTTCATGCTATGTTTCATATCATCTGTAGCATTCAGGGATACAGTAATCTGTTATTCTGAGATAACATTATTCTAGCGGTATGTGGTGTTCGATTCCACATCCGTGTAGCATAAAATCAATTTGACAAACCATTTACGCAAATATCCGGTCATTCTTGGGCAGCCGATCCTAAATGAATGCAACTTCTAGAAGCCTCTTTTAATCTTCGAAATATACATTCAGTTTGGTCACAGATAGACGATAAATGGGTCCTGATTGTAGCCACAAAACAATCCTGCACACTTCTGAAAAACTTTTTAAGTCAGCTATCACGAGCAACATGCGGATACAATCAGCTGCTAATAATGCAGGCTGACTGAAACCATTACGGAATGAATATTCTGCTACGTTTTCATATGTTAAAGGGATTATTCATTCAAATCTAAATGATTTTACTCAACCTCAGGCCAGAGATATGTAGGTGACTTGCAGTGTTGGGGGTAACGGACTACAAGTAATGTGAGTTACGTAATAATATTACTTTAAGTAACGAGTAAAGTAACGCATTGCTTTAAAAAATTAAGTATTATTATTTGAGTTACTTTTTTAAAAATGTAACTCAAGTTACTTTTTATATTATTTAATTTGAAAAATAGTTTTTTTAAAATAGTTTGCTGAATTAAAATTGATGCAATCACGTCGAATTACACTCAGTGAGAGAATGAGCTCCCTGCTGGAACAGATGGCAGAGCCTTACATTTCTGTGGTGGAAATATTGTCATTATTTTGAAAACATGGAAAAAAGAAGACCATAGTATCAATGGACCGTGATTTTACTCAACTAAATCATGATCAGTAAAATCTAAATACAAAAAGTAACTTTAATTAATCTGTATATACGGCATGTAGAGGGTCAGGAAGTTCTCAGAAGGTAACATTATTCTAATTTTTTAATGAGTTTTCTTTAAAGATAAATCAAGTTATACAGTGTCATTAAATGCAGAGTTCCTCTATTAAAAAACAAACTGCAAGTTCTGAAAGAGATCAAGCCTCAGGCAGGTATGAAAAGTAACTCAAAAGTAACTTTTTTACTTTTTTTACTTTTACTTTCCATAAAAACACAACTATTTACTTTTTTGGGGAGTAACTCAATATTTTAATTGCATTACTTTCAAAAGTAACCTTCCACAACACTGGTGACTATTTGTTTCAGTAGAACATAAAACAAATGATTTTGGCTCAAAATATGGTGCGACAGGAAGATTGTGCTCATGAACACATGAGGATGAGGAGATGTACACTGTAAAAAGCGGTTTAAGAGAAAAGAAAACAAAGTCACTGATATAAATTCAACAAGTTGACCTTACCTATAATTATTTTCTTAATTAATCACCCTATGGGACATGGTCCATTTCAAAAATGTTTTTGGTAACTTTCTGAACAAGTCGGGAACTTTACCATCTATGTAGTATCAGCAAGTTCTTCGATTTTACCAAAAATATCTTAATTTGTATTCCGACGATGAACTAAGGTCTAAAGGCTCATTTACATGTCTGCGTCGAGCGATCGGCGTGACCCACAGCGCATACCTTGTGCATAACGTTAGCCATGCATTTATACTTCTGTGTGCGGTTTGTGTTGCTCTGCAATAACACTTCCAAAACGCTATCTGGCAGTAGGTTTTTATGTTCCTCTATATTGAGTTTTTTTAGTTTTTTTCTGAACGCTACCTTAAAATACAAGTAGCTACAACTCGCTTATTCAGAGGCGGGAACTGGCATACATGCAATGACTTTAACCATAAGGTAAACACATAACAAAAGATTCCATTTGGAGCTCCTTCACGGGACTTAACATTTGTAAACACTCACTACAACAGGCTTGTTGCTCTTAACAGTGCCCACACTCGTCGCAGCTACCAAGCCGAACAATCACAGAGCTCTCGATCGAGTCATTTTGACGTATGGTTACATTTTTTGAGAGGTGCGCGTCAGCGAGGGCTATGCCACCGCACAAAGACTACATGTGTGCTTGACGCAAGTATAAATCAGCCTTAAGGTTTTTTTTTTGGAGGAACACGAGGGTGAGTAATTTAGATTTTTAGGTGAATGAACCCTTTAACTTAATTTTTAAATTGCGCACATAGTTCATTTACCTAATTTTAAGACAACAGGTTTACTCACTTTTAAGTAAACTAAACAAATCACTTTTTACTCTGTTTATTCTTTTTCACAGACCAATTGTTTCACTTCATAAGAGCTCAGGAGCCACAAGTTTTAACTTTGCTCTCCTGCATTTGTTTTATGACTTTCCAACTGCTGGTAGCTGTTGACTCAACATTAAATGAAATTGAGAAGGACCATCATTTCAGCTTAAAATATTCGATAAAAATTTACAAAGAAAAAAAAAATAAAGTCACTGACATGTTGGATGGCCTGAGGGTGAAGAAATTTTCCTTTTGGGACAAACTATCCCTTTAACATCTTACAACAAAGTATAAACGCACTAATTAATGCTATACAAAAGCTAAGCATTCAAGACCAAACAATATTGAGATTTAGCCCATAAAGCGACGTTTCTTTGGTAACAAAAAATTTTGCATCAGACATTTCATCCCATGTTAAAATGGAAGACCAAATTCCAATCCCTGAATAGTGTTGTGATTCTCCTCAAGATGCAAGAAATGTGGCTTTGTTCCCCAAGCTTCAGCAAAGAGCCCATTTATTAAGAAAAAAACGGCATTAGCACCAAGCAACTTGAATCAGTCAGTGGCTGAAACTACCCATGAAATAAGAAAACAAACGCTGGTCCGTAGAGTTCGCTTGGTCTTTGACAATCAGCTGGTGAAGCTTCCTTGTTGTCTTGATGAACAATTTGGTTTGATTGGCAAATGCATTCATGACGTTTCTGCTGGTGTAAAAAGGATCCGAACGTAAGGCAACATCTGCAGCTCTGGGAGGTTTGTTTGAATCACATTCAGATCAGGCTGACTTTGAAGCTTTGCATTTTTGTCAGCGAGATCTTTGATGGTGAGCATGAGAAAGAATTTCCAAGAAAAGTATGGATCTTAATCCAAAAAAATAGTCAATCTTGACAGCAGATGTGAAAACAAAAAAGGATGAGAGACAGGGATTCCACCACAAATGCTGGTTCTTGTGAATATACCAATCATTTATGGCTTCAGGAGGTCTAACTAGCTTCTGTTCAAGCCCTTTTTTGCCAGTGTACTAAAATATATCCATTCCAAAATGTACAAAACCTGGCAACCCAAAAGGCGATTGCCTCAAATCGTAGATCCTCGAGGGGGAGAGGGAAAAAAGGGAGCACATTCAGGGTGTTAGAAGTAAAGAAGCCCTTAGGTAAGGGTCTGAATGTGTCCTTCTACAGATTGATTGCGGGTGGAGTTCACATCCATGAATGAGTCATGGCAAACTGAATCAAAACAGGAAACGGATGATGCAGGATCCTTCAGTTGCAGTCTCCATTTTGAAGAGTGCAGCATGTTATATCGAGTCTCAGCAAAGCCTATCTCTTCCCGGTTTTCATGTATGATGGGATGCCTCCTCGTGCGGTGAGGCCCTCAAAGCGCTTGTAGGTGTAGTTGATGAACACCCAGTCTTTACTCTTCAGATCCGCCTCTGTGTGGTTGGACACAACAGTAGTGGCTGTAGAAAGAGAAAAAATGTGATTGTATAGTTCTGAAATGTGTATTTAAGGATCATGTAATTGACTTAAAACCCCACCTGAAGGTTGGAGGATGTCTGAATCAGGGAACTCGTCAAAGTTGGAGGTATCGTCAATGCTTTTGATCTCAATGGGAATAGCTGCTGGTCTCTCCCTGGAGGAAAATAACCATAGTCCGTGTTCAGAATGGCATACTATTTCACAATGCATGGATACCATTTTTACTAGCTGATTGCTGAGTATTGTCCTTTAATGCAGTGTTTTCCAACCCTGTTCCTGAAGGCACACCAACAGTAAACATTATCAACCTCTTCCTAAACAAACACTCCTAAATCAACCCCTCAGAACATTAAAAGAGACTCTAAAACCTGAAATGAATGGGTCAGAAAAGGGGACATCCTAGGTACTGTTGGTCTGCCTCCAGGAACAGGGTTGGAAAACACTGCTTTAATGATCGTTATAGAAAACAAATCATCTTAGAGAGAGTGTTAACCATTGTGTTCCTTAAATTTAACTAAGTGAATATTCAATAGTATGTCAAGCTTTTGAAAGGCTTCTGAATAGTTGAATATTCATTCATGCATTAATTTTCTTTTCGGCTTAGGCCCTTTATTAAGCTGGGGTCGCCACAGTTGAATAAACTGCCAACTTATCCAGCATGTTTTTTTTTATGCAGGGGATGCCCTTCCAGCTGCAACCCATCTCTGGGAAACATGCACACACACTCATTCACACTCGCACACTACGGACAATTTAGCCTATTAAATATTTTTCAACACATTTCTAAACAAACCAGTTTTAATAACTCATTTCTAATAACTGATTTATTTTATAAATGATGACAGAATATAATATTTTAATAGATACTTTTCAAGACACTAGTATTTAGCTTAAAGTGACATTTAAAGGCTTAACTAGGTTAATAAGGCAAGTTAGGGTAATTACACAAATCATTGTATATTGACGGATTGTTCTGTAGACATATCGGAAAAAATATTTAGCTTAAGGGGGCTAATAATTTTGACTAAAATGTGTATTTAAAATTAAAAACTGCTTTGATTCTAGTTGAAATAAAACAAATAAGACTTTTTTCCAGCTGAAAAAGTATGATAGGAAATACTGTGAAAATTTCCTTGCTCTGTTAAACATCATTTGGGAAATATTTAAAAAAAAAATTCAAAGGGGGATTAAAAGTCAAAAGTTTTGTTATCTAAAACTTTTGACTTTAACTGTACATGGGTATTGAGTTTTCCAAAAAATCTGTCCACATAAAAATGCCAAAACGCACTTTGATGCTTTAAGCATATGCCAAACCAACAGGCAGCAATAATGGCGCTTTTATGCTAAGTTTACACCAAACGGGGAATGAAGTATTTTCACAAGTACGTTGCATACAAGTCAATGCAAACATGCCGTCATTCATGCTGACGTCATGGGGTGAAAACTCTGGTTGTAGTGTCAACACAAACACACTGTATCCGGAGTTTTAACATGGTATAACATGGTTTGGAAAAGTCAAGGTTTTAAAATTGCCAAATTTTCAGCTATTCCCGTTCCTAAGGTATAACATTTTTTTATTTACGTTTATTTTTGAATTTTGGATCGCTCCCATCTGCTTGATGCCCGATGCTGATATCTGTGCACTGGATCGTGCATCCCTGTTTACAATACTGCTGTTTTAACTGCATTTTCTAAAAAACTGATAATGTCTTTGTGAGGATTTAGGCTTGCCAAACAACATTTTTCTTGAAAAATTATTTGAATAAAAATAAAATAAAATAATATACATTCATACAGTGGGTCAGCATAAATAAGTACACCAGTAGCTAAATTAAACATGCAGTGTGACAAGTTCAAGTGACAAATTGCTTTTCTAGATCAAGACATCGCAGCACATTTAAAGCATAAAGATAACTTAAGCAATCGTCTAGACTAGAGGACCTCTGTTCTGTGAACAGTGGTGAAAATAAATAAGATGTCAATTTCCTTTATTAATTACGTGTTTAATCTGTGTGTTTGTCCACACAAGATACCAATGTACCTGATATGGTCATAGTCCACACCCTCAAAGAAAGCGTTAGTTTTGATCTCCTCCACTCCAGTGGCTCCAATCCTGTGCTCACCCTCACAGCAGAACCTGGAGGAAAACAACAGAGCAGAAAGAGACTGCTTGAAAGTCCCAAGAGTAGATTCACAGTATGGTAAATATAAACCAAAAACGATTAGCCAAAGAGATTAGCAAGGGGAAAAAAGACCACAAAATAAACATCAGAGATCAATCTAAAGGTTCATTCCATTAAAAAAAGAGGAGGAGAGAAAATAAAAACCTGAGGATCAGATCCTTGGCCTTTTCTGAAATTGGGACCTCTGGTGGAAAGATTAGAGTTTCCCGCCAGTTCATCACTTTCCTGTACGTCTCTTGTGGAGTTTCAGAGCAAAACGGAGGGTAACCTAAAAAAAAGAGAAACACAAATATTCTAGCCATATATCAAAATAAACAACTATTGTTATCTTATGAATCCAACTTACCAATCAGCATTTCATACATAATGACTCCTAAACTCCACCAATCACAAAGCTTGTTATACCCATTTTGCATAAACACTTCTGGGGCGATGTAGTCTGGGGTTCCAACAGTGGAGAAGGCCTAAAAGACATACGTTTTATTCAGAAAAACCTCTGTCTGCTATTTTATGTATTGTCCCACCACAGAGAAGTTTGAGAAAGAGAAGTGCTATGATTACAAAAGATTACAATGTAATCCTCTGACGCTAGTTTTACAATCGTCAATGGCCATATTCATGTCACAATAACTTCCTGCAGGATTGTATCTATCTGAGCCCACATACTACGAGTAGGGCAGTATTAGGTCACGCGGAAGCCCTTACCAATTGTCTCCTGTTTCGCTTCCATGTTTCTGCTTTCCTCTTTGAGTTCATGTTCTGAAACGCTGAAGAAAAACAAATTCAAAGTTAGATTTAGAATCAGCTAACAAATTCCTTTTTTACTACCAATACACTACTGTTCAAACGTTTGGAAAATGTTTTATTTATTTATTAGTGCCGAGCAAAGATTAATCATGATTAATCACATCCAAAATAAAAGATTGTTTTGACATAATACGTGTAGTGTATACATACATGCATGAATATATTTGAGAAAATGATTATTTATTTCATTCGTTCATTTTTTTTCTGGCTTAGTCCCTTTATTAATCAGGGGTCGCCACAGCAGAATGAACCGCCAACTTATCCAGTAGGTATTATGCAGCGGATGCCCTTGTCTTTGGACTGTGGGGGAAACCGGAGCACCCGGAGGAAACCGACGCGAACACTGCGAGAACATGCAAACTCCACACAGAAATGCTGACCCAGCCAGGACTCGAAGCAGCGACTTTCTTGCAGTGAGGCGATTGTGCTACCCATTGCACTACCATTCTGCCCCGTGTTTCTCTCTTTCTTTCTATCTATCTATCTATCTATCTATCTATCTATCTATCTATCTATCTATCTATCTATCTATCTATCTATCTATCTATCTATCTATCTATCCATCTATCTATCTATCTATCTATCTATCTATCTCCCCACCCTCCCTCCTTCCTTCCCTACCTACCTCCTACATATTTTCTCAAAATAAACTTTTATTTTGGATACAATTAATCGTGATTAATCTTTGCTCAGCACTATTATTACTATATTTTATTATTTATAATGTATATATTGCTTAAATTATTAATTAATCAATTTAGTTTTTTTAATTAAATTAACCTGTATGTGTAACAAATCTGCATATTATGTTCAAGTTCCTATTTCAAAAAGCACTGTTTTTAACAATGAAATTACAAAAATTCAAAAAAAATAAATGTCAGGTTTTTTGTAAATGAAAACTGTTAGTAGTACAACTGTTTTTCACCAATGACTGGACTTATGTGCAAACTAATGATATGATTTTTATAGGAACATTGACAATACCGCAATTAAACTTTACTTCATGATGTAAACACAACACTTCATTCAAACTAAAGCAATTAAGCTCATTATAGCAGTAATCATAATCACACTGAGCTGTGTTCAATAGTTATATTAACCACATTGAACAGGCATATAAAAAAACACCTTAATCAAATTTATGTTTGAACATACACAGATGGTGCCCTAATTTATGTCAAGAATATTATTTTTTTTTCTTGAGCATACAATCAGCAGATTAAAATAATTTCTGAAGATTAATGTGCCACTGAATATTGGAATAATGACTGTTGGGATGCAATCATGCTATCCCAGGAAAACCTTACATTTTATATGACATAACTATTAAAAAAAATCCTAATACAGGGCTCGAAATTAACTTTCTTACTTGGTAGCACCGGTGCTCCCAACCTGAAATATTTAGGAGCACCAGAAAAAAATTAGGAGCATCCACCAAAAATGAATGATATATTTGACAAGTTGTATATTAAGGGATTTATTGTATTTGAAAATAACATCAATTGGGACTAACAAAACCCAGAAACAACTATCTAACTAATGCTGTGATGACTTAATATTTGTGCAATAATTCCAAAATGAATGTTGAATAATTATAAAATATTAATGATGATGATGATGACAATAATACTAATAATGAATAATATTTCTCATCATCATGATGCCTTGAATGTGCTTTAATGCAAGTTATCTGCTATATAAAGTCCTACTGTTAATTTATGAAAAATGAAAAATAAATTGATGGTTTGCATCAAACACAAATGAAGCATTGTAGTAAGAAATATTTATTTTGTACTATTGTTTTTATATGCATGCCAATTTAATAAATAATATTTCTGCTACAAAACAAACGAAATAATATAATAAATAATTTAATCCAATGCTGAAAGCTGCAAAGCAGTCATCAGTAATTAAATAGAAAAATAATATAGACCTCAAGAAAGAACGGACAAAAGAAAGGACGAAAAGGCTTACTTTTAAAAGTTTTGGTTTCGGTTCGTGTCGTTTTAATGCTCAGCCTCGTTATGCGCTGAATTACATTTTTCTGTGTTTGTGGAAAAGCATGCGAGTCAGCCGACCCAATATATGAGGGGGGCAGAGCAGGATTCTCCCGATGCCCACCGGCGCAATACTGTTCTTTGTTATAACCCGCATCAGATCAAACTTAGTAAAGGCAAGCTTCTTTGGCGATGGTGTTTTAGCGGACATTTGCGCTGTTGCAGCCTGCTCACGAGGAAACGTATGAAAAAGTTATGAATTGCCGTGAGATTGTGTTGGCTGAACGCTGTGCATACAACGCATCGAGATTCAGTGTACTTTTCACTCTTCAGCCGTTTGCAATCCCCGCGGTCACAAAAGCTCCCTCCCTGTCATCTGACAGCGGAAAGTCTTGAGTGATTGACGGCTAATATGAACCAATATAGCGGCAGGGAAGAGCGAATTTACCACGTTTTTAGAAAAAAAAAAAACAGATCGCACTATAACCATAATATGCAGTCGCACGAATGCTCCCAATATATATTATGAGTCGCATAGCTTAAATTTCGGGCGCATATGCGACTAAAATGGTCACAATTTCGAGCCCTGTTATAATACTTCACAGCATTACTGTTTGGATATTTTTCCAAATCAAAAAAATGCAGCATTGGGCCTAGGGCTGCACAATATATCGTTTCAGCATCGATATCGCGATGTGCACATCCGCAATAGTCACATCACAGAATTTGCTATGTTGAATCAGAATTATAGTGGAGTAGGAGTAGAAAACATACATAACTGTGGCTTCATAGCAAAGTTTAACCATAAAGTTACAACAAAAAAACCTGTAGCGTTGAAACCTGTTGATGTGTGCGCATTTTTAGCCAGATAAAAGCATTTCGGCACAGTAAACAAACATTTTTGTAACTTTAAGAAACATTAATTGTATTTATGTGCAGTATACATGCAATGAAGATTATTTATTTTACACTTATTTCATTAGTGCTACTGTTAAGACTCCCAGAAATAAGCATTTGTTTCATTTGTAACTTTACAGTATTTATCATTGCTTGTGATTTGGTTTATTACATTCCATGCAGATGCGCTCCACAACAAAATCATCCTATTATCATCCAAAATTGTCCTAAAATTATTCATTCATTTCAAATAAAGTTATTAATTTCATCTGTTAAAATGATACTCAATATCGCAATATGTTTTGCAGAAAAGTAAAAAATTGCAAGTTCAGTTTTTTCCAATATGGTGCAGCCGTAATATAGACCATAATTTTTGAAAAACATTGTTCATTGTTAGCCTAAACTTTTGAATTCTGCTTAATTATGTTTATTTCAACAAGAGCATGATGCCAAATCAATATGAATGTAAAGTGGTATATAAAGTCATCTGGATTAATATCAGCATGAGAATTGTTTGTCTGCTTACTGAAGTCGCTGGGAAGGCTGTGATTGAGGTTTCTGTAAAACTCTGTGCGGTGAGCTTTCTTCAGACCAGTGCATAAGCCAAAATCAGACAACTTCACGTGGCCCTGAAAACCAAAAGAACACTATAAATAAATAACTCTCTTTAGATTGACTCTATGTGATTTAGCCAAATAGTTAAATTGAATGTTTCACAGCAATTTTAGAGTTGGGTCACAATAAACGTTTTAAAGTGCCATTTGTGAAAATAATATATATAATAATCAAATAATTACAGTGACGTTGTTTCACAAACTTATTTCTGTTCTTACTCTTGAGTCCAGCAGCAGGTTGTCTGGTTTGATATCTCTGTGGATGAAGCCCAGCTGGTGAATGGAGTCAATAGCCAGCACAGTTTCTGCGATATAAAACTGTGTGGCCTCCTCCGTTAAAGTGTCTTTCTTCATCAGTAGAGTCATCATATCACCTGGGCAAACACACACACAATCAGCTTTGAGCTTTTATTATCTTGAAGGTAAAGTTCTGAAATCAAAGCATTCTCACCTCCAGGCAGAAACTCCATGATGAGGTAGAGGTTCATCTTGTCCTGAAAGCTGTAGAACATCTTGACCACCCACAGACTGTCTGCCTCTACAAGAATGTCCCTTTCTGCTCGAATATGACCAACCTTGAACAGACAAGAAAAAAATTAGACCTTTAAACAAGACAAAAAAAAAAAAACTAATGTAACTTATATGTGGATGTATACTGTAAAGACTAACCTGTTCTTTCTCAAGCATATCAGCCTTGCGTAGGATCTTCATAGCATAAACATGTCCTGTGTCCTTCTTCTGAACAAGCCGCACCTAAGAAAGGAGAATAGATTTTAAATGTGCAAAATATGATATTTTTAGGAGGGATTTATTTATGATATTAAAAACAATACAGTTAAACTACTAAAATTAATAAATAAATAAATAAATTCTATACAAAAACTTTATATGACTATGTTTATCTTATATAAATAAATGTTTTTGATTTTATTTAATGTAATTTATTCCTGTGAAGGCAATGCTGAATTTTCTTTTTTTAGTCAACACAATTCTCTCTCTCTCTAAACAGACGGACAGGACAGGACAGGACAGATGGACAGATAGATATTTCAATGAGATCAGTGTGGTCATGAAATCCGTATCTTATTAAATAGCTCTGGTTTTTAAATACAACAGCATGAAATAATTTTTTAGACTTATTTTCTAAAGGAATATTTTTAGAAATTTGGAGCAAATGTTATCAGATCTAAAATCATTCAAACATAAAACTTTACAATAAGGTTGTCTTAGTTAATATTTGCTAACATGAACAACACATTTACAGTATTTATTCATCTTTGTTAATGTTACTGAATGGAATTGAAGTGGTTCATCGCTAGTTCATGTCAACTTAGTGTGTGAACTGATGTTAACAAGCATGAATTTCTATTTTATTAATCATTAGTAAATGTTGAACTGTGATTATTAAAAGCTATACAAGTATTGCTCATTTTAGCGAATACATTAACTTATATATACTAATGCAACCTTATTGTAAAGTGTGACCTTCAAACAATAAACATTTTACTCAAGAAGACCCATGACTAATAAATTCAGTAAATTCAGATATATTAATTATTTAATTTGTCCACAGTGGTTTACTGTATACAGACAAACTAAAAGATATCAACAAAAAGCCACATATTGATTGTTGAAAAGTCAAACCTCTCCAAAAGCTCCACGGCCAATCACTTTGAGAGACTCAAAGTCTTCTAGTCCAAGCCGTGTTCGTTTGAGACGAAGAAACTCTGTCTCTTTTCTTGCATGTTCAGATCGTCTGAGACGCTTCTGCAGATTCAGAGAAAAACCAATCACATTAAAACACATTCATTCATAGTGCCTTTAACATTAAATGACTGAATGAATCCACTAAAGCCAAGATAAAGATGACTGCAAATGCAAGCAGCAACAAAAAAAAAACAGCATCTCAAAAAAAGCTGACCTCTTCATCAGCAAGTCCCTCTTGATCCATGACCTTCTCCAGCTTTTGCTGCCTGTGACAGATAGAGCACAACTTTTAGACATGATGAAACAGCAGTACAATTGCTTCATCAGTACAGCGGAAGGTGTGGTTCAGCTTCACAACATTTCAAAAGAAATACAACCATATTAATAGAGCTCTGGAATCCGGGAGGTTATTACAGAAACACAATAGATGCAAATCACATATTGACCCAAGCAAAAACTATGCAAAAAATGACATCTATTTGCCCAAATGCGCAATCATTTAGCCTTGCCAAACCTGTTAAACACTGAAAGTTTAACTGGTTGTCAAACTACATTAGAGAAAGCAGTACTGAAATAGTAAACATTGTTCATTTTTACCAAAATGTGGAATTTGCTATGGATTTTTTTAAACAAAAGGTGAAAGCTAAAAAAGATTTTATTATTATTATTATTATTATATTTATGCTTTTTTTTTTTGCGTTTATTTGGTTCTTACCTCATTTCCCTTTCCTCATGCTGTGATATAAGATTGCTGTAAAAATTTTCCAGGGTCACTTTAGCCATGGTGACCCTTTCTTTAGTGTGGTTGCTCATCGAGGAGCAGGTCGTCTGACTGGTCATCGCCATGGTTAACTGGACAAAAAAAAACATTTCATTAGAATGAACAGAATATGTTTAAGATTTAAAAACAATTACAAATGGTTTGGTTTTCATATTCACAATTAATCTGCCTGTAAATTCAGAACTTTGCATCTAGCAACAGTGCCTCCTCCTCATGTTTAACCTATGAAAGGTGTTTTTAATCTCCTAGGCCTTGTTTACACCTGGCATTAAGATGCGTTTTTGTTAATCTGATTACAAGTGGATAAAGCTAAATACAGGTGTAAACAGCTTGAAAACATTTACAGCTTGTCCACTTCCAGAGGTAGTCGAAAGCACATTTAATCAGATCGGTTTCATAAATGTAAACATTGATGTGGTTGAATGCATTCAAACTGCCACAAAAGGCCACCTGCTCTCCGTCTGCTGACCTACTTCTACAATATTACAAGATGTGTTGTTAAAGCGCACCAAACAATTGGCATTTCACTTTTACCATTTGAAATCTAAAGTTGGTTTGAAGACATTAAAAAAACTAAAACAAAATTTTTAGTCTCTTTCCAGTCCAAACTGTAATAAAAATCCACAGCTTCCAGAATATCTTTGGCATCTGTTGGAGCAGTAATAAAAACTGCTGCTGTCTGTTTTCATATATATATATATATATATATATATATATATATATATATATATATATATATATATATATATATATATATAATATATATATATATATCAGAAAAGGCCCATGCATACACCCATCCATATACTCTTGCCTCAAAGAAAATACAAAAGAGTTGGTTTGAACCTGCCTGTAGGTGTAAACAGGAAGGTTTCCCCCTCGTCTAACTGTGATCTGACATTAATACTTAATACTTATCTTGTATTATAAACAGTATGCAAACAAGGCCACATATATCACAGAGAGATGTGATTTTTATGGTTAAACAAAAGAAGAAGAAAAAAAGAAAGAGTATTATTATCAAGCCATACATATTTTTGAAAGAATTTTAGAAGAGACGCATTAATGTACAGTGCTCAGCATAAGTACACCCCTCACAAATCTCTTTTAAAATTAATATTTTTAATAAGAAGCTATTCAATATTATATTTGTGCTAATACATTAGATTGGTCAGTACTGAAGAAAATCTGGAGCTAATCTAACAAAATAGCTTGCGATAACGGTCCAAAAATGAGTGCACCCAAATTTGTGTTAAAGAAAAATATTAAAAAACAATAAAAAAAAAAGAGGAAAAATCAAGAACCAAAAAAATGGAAAAAATTTGGTAAAAAAATTTTTTTTGCAATATTTTACTTGAATTTATTTGTATTATATTTCAATTTCTAAATATGTTTGGTGATAAAATATTATTTCAATAAATATATCCATTTAATAAATCTGTTTTGTTTAAATACACCAAATACATTGCCTATATTCACTGAGAAATGGATACAAACATTCAATTTCAAAATGGGGTGTACTCAATAATGCTGAGCACTACAGCTGTCAGCCAATATTTATAAGCTTTTAATTAGTTTTAAAAACATCAGCATGTGTACTAAAGCATAAAAATACAATGGAATGCAATTTTTTGGAATGAAATTTTTTTTAAATAACTACAGGCACAGAGTTGTTTATTGTCTTTTTGTCTCTGACTAAAATAATGACATACTTCCCATTTTACCAAAACAACAACAATGAAATATGTACAGACAACAACAACATTATTTCTCTGTTGAATATTAAAATGATAGTTCATCCAGTTCATGACTTTTTTTTTTTCAAACAATGATGAAACCAGATTTTAACAAAAAGCTATTTGCTTCTATAGTAGATAATATCATGGAAGCCAACATTAACAAGTCTTTTATATATATATTTATATATCTCATAGACATAATTATTATTTTGTCTTGTTAGATTTTTGCTAGCATTGTGGGTTGCAGAAATTCAGAAATTTTCTCAATTTATCAAAATAAATTTCAACCCTTCCATGTAAACTCATTTTAATTGAGATTCACTCGCTATATATTTATTTTAAGCAAAAGAAAGAATTGAAAATATAATTTACACAAATATCCATTTTGGTTAAACTATCCAACCTATGTTCAATAGAATACATGCTAACTTAAAATATGATCAAAACTAAATTTTATCTTAATGACAAAATAAAAGTTTAAATAATTGAGCAATAGACAGTCAATTGTTGATGATTAAAATAAGTATTTAAAAAAAATCATACCATTGCATCCCTAATATATAGTTTCTATTATAGACCATTTCAATGTGGTCATGTCATTGGCCCATAAACATTTCCTGCTTGTCATTGAACTATTTCATAACTGTAGAAAGAGGCAATTCAATCATAACATAATGCCAAAACAGCTGCCATAAAATTATTTATCAATATGTGGCTCGGAAAGCAATAGAAATTAAAAACGTACAACAGGAAATACGTTGGGACCATTGTTTTTGTTTACATCCCTCAAATTGGTCTATAGTATTGTTTTTTTTTTATCTCTTGTTCTGTACTAAAAATGATTAAGAAATCAATTTCTCTATATATTATTTCTGAAAAACCAATGTATTTACTTTGTTAACATTAGATTTTACTACATCATCACATTTTACGTCAACTGAACCCTACGTGTCTTTTCCACAGACCCTGTAGCTCTCCCTCATGGCCTCTTGAAATTCCCCGGACCCCTAATCTACTGGTTCGCATCACAATTAGCATTTCTTTCCATTACCAGCCTCACAGTGGCTTCTTGTGCAGGTATTCAGTGAAAGGCTGCATTTAACATCAGCTGCAATATTTACACTGCTTTAACACTCAGTCATCCACTTCCCACAGATCCCACGTCTGTGAAGCCTGACTGGCCCTTTGTTGCGCAGTGGCCAAAACAAGCATTAGGACAGCGGCTAAAGAGGCACATATGTTGTACTCTGCTTGGAAATTCAAACAGACGTCGCATTTTATCATCTGACTCAACTTCCACAGCTGATGTCACTGAGAGAGCTCGCAGACAGCAAGGGGAATTTCAGTCTAAATAAAAAGTGTGACTCAAGAAACAAAGTGTTAGGAAAATCAGAAGTTATATCAGCTTAATATACACTGTTGGCATGGGATGATAACCGGTATTAAGGTTTACCGCGGTTTTGAAAAGTCAAGGTTTTAAAACCATTTAAAATTTCTGTTATACCGTTCCTAAGGTATTTGTAGTTTTTTTTACGACTATTTTATTCAGTTTTTTAGAGCGCCAGTACAAAATGACCCTCCACATCAAAAGCTACTGGTCAGTCCAGAAAAACAGATCTTATTTAACCAACATCCAGCATGCTATAGACCTGAACAGTACAGTGACTTACTTTAAAGCCAAAGAAAATAAAGATATCCAAAGATGCCTTTTCAAGTTAAAAAGAAATCAAGTGTTTATTAAACGTATTAAGACAACAGAAGTCAATGATTTATTAAAATTATTTAGCTTGGCACTTGTTTCAAAATATTTTAAATGTTAATTTTTTTTTTTACTATGGAATAGTAAATTCCATGGAAAAATAAGTTTTAACCAGACATTTAAAAACACCATATTTTCCTGCAGTAATCATAATATCGTGATACCAGCAAACCGTGATATTTTTACCCAAGGTTATCATACCATCATAATCTTATACCGGCCCATGCCTAATACACTATTGATCAAAAGTTTGGGTTCAGTCAAACTTTTAGATGTTTTAAAGTAAGCTTATCCTGCTCACCAAGGCTGCTTTTATTTAATCAAAACTACAGTATAAATTGTACAATTGTGAAATGTTATTGCACTATAAAACAACTAATAATTTAATTTAATCATTTATTTCAGTGATTTTAATGATGAATTTTAGCTTCAGAGTCACAAGATCCTTCAGATTTTACTGTAATATTAATTATTACTGTTATTATTACTAATAGTAATGATAATTAAAGCAATGATGACTGAGGTAATAATTTCATTTGAAACCACATGCAATAAGTAATACATATATACAAATCTGACAGTGCAAAGCCAAACTGTCTATTTGCATTTTGTACATTTCAAAAGTAAACCCAAGCCTTATGACCTCTTTAAACTCAAAGAATAAATGTGCGACTAATGAAATAAAGTCGAGACTCGAGTCTGAAAATTAAAACAAAAAGATATGAGCACGTGAACTGATAAAAAACACAGAATCTTTATTCACGGACGGACAAAAAAACAACACTGTAAACACTAAAGTTTGACAGAGTAAACCCACACGATTAGTGAGTTTAGCCATGGTGCAATTTCTAAGCAAAACTAACACTAATGGATGAACACTAGCCACAGACTAATCCTTAAAAACATAAACAAAAAGTGTGAAACGCAAAAACATCATCAGTAGAGTATTAGGACTGTCAGTCTGCTAGCAGCAGTCGCTAACTGTCTGTTCAGACTCGTCTGCTCTCAAAGCAAAGTGAGAAACGGCTGAAATCCTGCTTAGTGTCTATTTAGAGCTCAAGCGACATGTGTAAAGTAAGCAGAAATAACGAAAGAAAAATATTAGTTACTCGTAAACACAGTGTTACTTTGAAAAAGTACTTGTTTGCTTACCTTCCACTCGACCTCAAACTGACTCGAGCTAGTAGACGACGACGGACATTATTTCCTTCTTCCGGGTTTGTGCTCGAGGTAAGCAGGGGAACAAAATAAAAGTCTCCGCTCTGGTGGTCTTGTAGGTCTTTGTCTTCGTAGTTAATTTAAACAAAAAACTCTATTCAGTTTGTTACAATTAACATTAAGGCATCATGTGTTTATGTTCGTCAAAATATTAAATAACAGAATACAAAAAGTCATTCATTCATTTTCTTTTTTCGGCTTAGTCCCTTTATTAATCTGGAGCCGCCACAGTGGAATGAACCATCAACTTATCCAGCATATGTTTTTACGCAGCGGATTCCCTTCCAGCTGCAACCCATCTCTGTAAAGCATCCATACACATTCATACTCATACACTACAGACAATTTAGCTTACCCAATTCACCTGTTCATATCTTTGGACTGTGGCGGAAACCGGAGCACCCGTGAACACAGGGAGAACATGCAAACTCCACACAGAAACACTGACTGACCCAGCCGAGGCTCGAACCAGCAACCCAGTGACCTTCTTGCTGTGAGGTGACAACCTACTGCGCCACTGTGTTGCCACAATTAGTCCTATTGACGAATAATAACCTATTAAATATTAACTTAATTAATTAACCTATTAAACTATTATATTCTAAATATGATCAATGCTATAGTAAATCATTACATGTATACTGATGATTTGGCTATCTTTTCCCCAAGTAGGGCTGGTTTTCAGCAGCTGCTACTTTATTTCAATAGTGCTTTTACAATGTAGATGTCAAAGCAGCAGCTTAACATAAAGCTCTAGTCAATTGAAAGTTCAGTTTAGTTCAGTTGAGTGTGTTTTAATTTACACTACTGAAAGTCAAAAACACTGAAAAACAAATCCAGCTTCACAAGTTCCAAGCCAAGCCAGCCATTGGTGAGGAACAAACTTTACTGATTGACAAAAGTGAAGGAAAAAGCCTTGAGAAAAAACAGACTGAAGCCAGTCCCCTGGCCAAACTTTCTGTGCAGAGCTGCAGTCTGGGAGGCGAAAGAGATATAATGTGCAAAATAATACTAACCAAAGGACATAGAGATATGATTTTTCTAGATTTTTATTTGTCAGGGCAAGTTTGAAATGTTAGTAAAACGGTTTTTATTTAGGGCTATATAGGGCATGTCATACTGAGATATGAGTGATAATGATAGCAATAGGATATGAGCACCACTGATGTGATCCAAGACCAGCGACAAGATGATCCCAAGGTTTACATAATCCTGGACAAGGCTGTATCCTAAGCAGCTGCTGTGGTGGTCTTGGAGGAGTGGAGAGTATGTGACTGATTCCTGTGACTCTCCAGGACCAGGTACAGATGAGTCTTCGTTGAAGTCCAGCGTTTAGCCTTCAGCGCCTAGACTACAGCTCTGCACAAGACGTTTGGCCACGAGAGAAATGGTCGTGCCCAACTGAGCCTGGTTTCTCTCGAGTTATTTTAATTCTTCACTTTCGCCAATTAATGAAGTTTTTTCCTCACTGCTGTCACCATTGGCTTGCATGGTTTGGGACCTGTAGAGCTGCGTATCGATGGATTTGCTCCTCAGTGTTTGGACTCTCAGTATTGAATATTGAACCACACTGAACTGAGCTAAACGGAACTTAAACTCTGAAAACTGGACTGACACTATTTTTTTAGTTTACTATAATCTTCTATGTGAAGCTGCTTTGACATAATCTACATTGTAAAAGTGCTATAGAAATAAGGTGAATTGAATTGAAAAATAATGATGTATGTTCAGAGAACGTCGAAAATTATGTTGAAGCAAATATGCTGGTGAGAAAGTTTAATATGTGCTTGGAGCAGATTAAAGTAAACCTCTTTCAAGCATATTGCTGTTCTTTAAATACAGCTCCTTTGTGGAATCATTAAAAAAAAAAAGAGTCTCCATAAGCTGCAGTTAACATACAATGATTATATAAGGATTCTGCTTTAAAAAAAAAACCTATATAGTGCAGTGCAAGTGATTTATTTTGTAAGGTAAGAGTTTGAGAATTTTCTGATTTAATGAGAAATTTGATCTTTAAGTTTATTTGTTGACTGGAGAATTCTCAGAATAGCATTTTAATGTTGTTGATAAATCCTAGGCTTACTGAGGTGCGTTATCAGTCACTTTTGATGAAGTATTGACATTTGTCTTTTTAAATGTATATTGTGTGGTTTGTATTGTTCTGTTTGTCTTTTGTTGCTATTGGACCCAGTGAAATAAAATAAATGAGTTCAATTAACCAGCAACAAGCTATACATTTGTTACTGTATTAATTATTATTTTAAACTATTAAATCAGAAATAAAGTTTATTGATAATTTATGTCTGCTCTTATAAAAGCTTGTCTAAATGTGTGTCAGAATTTAGTTTTGTTTGACATTTTTATATTGTAGAACTCAAGTGGTTTTCACGTCATTGCTCTTTTTCACCATATGAGGGAGCTGCTACACAAACAAGTCTGCAATAGATCACCAGCAACCGTTTACAATTGAGCAATTTTGTTGTTAGATTTGGTAACTTCTTGACCACTCTCCTGGCTAAATTGTAGTTAATTAAAAATAATTTGATAACTTTTAGCAACAAGACTCACCCGAATGAATAACAGTCACGAAATCACCTCTAAATTTCGCAAAAAAAGGATTACAACTGAACGTCAGCCAAGCAACCCATCGACCCTAAGAGATGAAGATGTCAAGCCGTAGGTTTACTGTACACACACATCATGTGACGGAAACTGCTGCAATTGTTCTATAATGTATGTGTGATGCATCTTGTTGTTACCTTGTTACAACAACTTCAGTTTCAGTAAGAAACCCCAGATAATAAGGAATGTTATGGCGACTGCTGATTTTCATTTATTCATTCTTTTTTTTTTTTTTTTGGCTTAGTCTCTTTATTAATCAGGGGTCACCACAGTGGAATAAACCGCCAACTTAGCCAGCATATGTTGTACGCAGCGGATGCCGTTGTAGCTGCAACCCATCACTGGGAATCACCCATACACTCTTGCATTCACACACATACACTAAGGACAATTTAGCTTACCCAATTCACCTGTACCACTTGTCTTTGATCTTGTGGGGGAGCATCCGAAGGAAACCCACGCAAACACAGGAGAACATGAAAACTCCACACAGAAATGCCAGTTGACCCAGGTGAGGCTTGAACCAGCACCTTCTTGGTGTGAGGCGAAAACGCTACCCACTGTGCCACCGTGCTGCCTACTGGTAATTTTGTTTTCCCAAAAATTTTTTAATTTCACAAGGGTTTCTAACTAAAATCCAATGAAACACATTATTAGAAAAACACTGTTCATGTTTCAGTTGTTTATATTTACAGTAATGGATTGAAACTATTGAAACTAATTAAAATAGGCACAAAATGTAGTAAAATTAAGATTTTAAACCATTTTTTTTTCATTAATCTTTTTACAGTTTTCATTGTAATAATACATATGAGCATCATCATGCAATAACATCACAATGTCACCTATCAACCTAAAGCAACTAGATGTCCAGCCAGCAGCCAAGATGTCAATTCCCTTAAAATGATTGAGCAACAACTGATGCAACAGTCGAATGTACAAATTTATTGAGTACAAACCACAAAAGGTTTGTATACCAGGGTGTCTGCTGAGTCTTTTATGCTTAAAAAAGTCTTAAATTTACTGAAATATTGTGATGTAGGTCGTCAATAATTTTAAACAGGTACTTAATTTACATCCAGGTTAAGTACCAAAATTAGGTTGACACACAAAACAACTTATATATATATATATATATATATATATATATAAGTTTATTGCCAATAAATGCTATTTAAAAAGAGCTCTTAGGACATGTTTAAAGGAAATTATCCTAATTAAATTGTCTAATCAGGAAAAGAAAATTACGCAACACATCCGTTTACATAATCTTCTACTAATACAGAACCTCTTTACAGTCGTCACTGGGCCATTAGAAAAAAATCTTAATGTTTAACCCTGTACAAGTCTAAAATTGAATTCATAATGGTCTTAAAAGAGTCTTAAATGGTCTCAAATTTGACTTAAAGAAACCTGCAGAAACGCTGGTATACATGAATAACTGGCTAAACTGAATAAGTAACATATTTATGTTTTTAAAGGCACAAAACAACATGAAAACAGTAGAAAATAAACACGTCTTTATGACGTCTGACAAAAGCCAAGAAAATTAGCTCTGTTGAAATTCCACAGCAGGCGCATGAGCATTCCTTCACCGTTTTGCCTTCCAAAAACCAAGCAAGTATGCTAACTATTGCGAGAAAAATGTCAACAACATCAAAACCTTCATTACCTAATTATAACAGAAGACAAATCCCAACCACAAAGCAACATTTTTCCCTCACAACTCAGCTGCAAAACAGAAAGTAATGTGATATTTATAACAGTTTTCGAGGGTGGGACAAACTGGAAGTCCCGCTCTTTTTTTCTTAAAAAAAGGAGTGGCTTACATCCTTTTTCAAGTTCCTTTACCCGCCACCACGTTTTTGTCTCTCAGTCTCTCTCTCTCCATCTGCTTGTTAGATGATATACTCAAGAACTATAAAGGAGAATCAAAATAATCATTCACTTTCTCTGTATAAACATCCTGGAAGATCTATATGTTGACTACACTGAAGAGTAGTTGTTAAAGCGTCCAAAAGGTAAGAAGACTTTATTATCTCAGAAATGTTCTCTCAGTGATATGTCAATACAAAACAATTGTTGGTTTCTTCATATAGACTCACTAGTTGATAATTCATTCGTTTCTTGCTTAACTGTAAGCACCATTCATAAGGTCTCCCCTCAGCTACATCAGAAGGAAGTGTGGAGACCATGTGGCACATGGCAGATACAGACGAAAGCAGCAATAATTCATGACAGAGAACAATCACACAATTGTCTTTCACTTCACATGTGTCTTTACACTACATAGTCATAGAAGAATTACTGTATGTTTGTCTCACTTAATTGTAGACAACCATGTAGAGTGATTGTAGACAAGTCTACTATACATATATTTAGACTTTATAGAGTAACTCTTATATCATTTGAAGATGTATTGATGAATATTTATTGTCACAGTGACACACATAGTTGATAGGCATTATATTTTAATCAGCATTTTCTCTACTCTGAAACCAACTAGTCTGACTTGCGGTGTTTTTAGGATGTGGAGTTAAGTGAGGTTAAAGTGTTTAATGGAATAAGGTTGAATGTTATACAATCTATGCCACATTTCATTAAACCACTCACACTTAATATTTACACATGCATTCAGAGCTTTAAAAGTGATTACGCTGGTAAAATACGTCACACTCAGCGTTCTTCCACTTTGTCACATAGGTGTGTAACGTCAAGAAGGCGTCATGTCTCTTTGTAACCGGTTTAGCAGTATCAGATGATAAACACTGTTAGAAGCTTTTCCTGGAGAGCCTGTTCTTGTGAGATATGATAGTGTATATCTTGAGCTGGATCACTGACAATGTTCAGCTGAATTTCTTAGAATTTCACATGATTTGGACAAGTTAATAAAATGACACATGACTTATATTAAGCATACTGGCTATTAAATATTATAATCTCATGTTTTTCTTCTGTGGAAACCTTTGTTTTACCCACAATGCACTGCAGCAGAAGTATTTTGTGAGTGAAGGCCACATGGATATGACTAACCATGTGAATAGTGACTAGTTCCTGTATGACGCTAGTCTTTGTACAAGAGTTTCCTGACATTTTTAATATTAATCATTTTAATATAGTGTAAAGCAAACACCAAATGGCCACATCTACAAACACTGGCAAGACGCCTTGGGGATGTTTGTGAAATACTGTCTTTCCCTGTCTAAAATCCTTTATAATATTTCTTTTAAAAATGTATACTTGTGCAGTCCTTATATAAACTAATGGTCGGTTTAACTAAACACTACTGAACTTAAATACCTGTACTGGTTTCTAGATTTATGTGCCAGTCCCTATGAATATGCTTATTTTTTACTAAGTCATTCTTGTTATACTGTTCAAAATGTGCCTGATATATATGTTTATATATATATATATATATATATATATATATATATATATATATATATATATATATATATATATATATATATATATATATATATATATATATATATATATATATACACCGGATTAAGCAAAATTAAACACTTTAAAGGTATAATTTCCCTTTCCATCAAGCCTATGCTTTCATTTGGCCAGCCAAATATTTACTATCTGACATGGTTTATGATTCTTAGCAGTCCAGAAATTTTCCCAAGAGCTAATTTCAAATAGTGATGATAAGAAATATTCCTTTATTGCAAGAACTTTAAACAAAAAGAGACAAACCAGTTCGCAAATGTGAATATATAGAGAAGATGTAGAATATATAAATAAAATATGTAGCAAATTAATAGTTGCACCTTCTTTAATACAGGCAAAGTTTATGGAAATATCTCATTTACACAAAGATTTACTTACTTTTATCATTTTAAATTTTTTAAGTCCTTTAATAGCTAATTTGAAAATAATGAAGAAAATAATTGTGTTAAATATTAAATTAACCATTAAAATTGCACACACTTTCTTTAAAAAGAAATTATGCATTAAAATAATGTGTTGTATGAACATACTGTAAATTAAAAACATGCACATAATAGAAAGCTGTCAAAAGAAATTTTAGATTTTAGTTGCATAGTCTATTAAATAACAAAAGTTATTGAGAGACAGATAAATTAAATGCATTCTTGATGATCAGAAATATTCCTTCATTGCAAGAACTTCAAATAAAAAGAGGTAGGTCACCAATCTGAATATGTTGAAGATGTAGAATATATAAATAAAATATGTAGCAAATTAGTAGTTGCACCTTCTTTAATACAGGCAAAGTTTTTGAAAATGTCCTATTATTACAAAGATTTGCCTACTTTTTTCAATTTTTAAATGAATAGTTCTTTAATAACTACTTTTGAGAATAATAATTGTTTTAAATATTAAAATAATTCTCTTAATGAGGTTAAATTGCAAAAACTTTCTTTCAAAACAAGCTATACATTAAAAATAATGTACAGCATGAAAATAAAACAAAAAATGCGCAATATAGTAAACCATCAAGAGGGATTTGAGATTTTACTTGGACATTTTGACAAGACTTGGGATCTACTCTCAATACTTCTAAATACATATAGCTAATATGAATAATAATAATATAAAAGCAAAGAGTGTATTATCTAATATTGTTATTTTAGTCCTTGCATGTGTTTCATAGTAAGTGCACAACAGATGACGTTAAAAAAGTCCTGATCTCTTAATCCCATTACTTACAACAGACATACATGTGGACTCACACACACAAAATCCCTTAATGCCTTCTCCCACCTACTTTATAACACCTTGTCCAACTTGACACTCCACCCATATTAACCAATCACGCCCAAAATGTTAATACGTTTCCACCCCGGCAATGGCTGTAATAAGTGTTCTAATACGTGAATGTCTTTTTGTGCCATATGATAATTCACATTCAGTCATAAACTCTGCAGATTCACCATATTTAACTTGCACAAGAGCGTCAAGACAACAGACTCATGCCAGGGTGTCCTTAAACACAGACACACACATGTCCACTCATCCTCTATATACAGGAGTTAATCTCCTCCTCCCCCATCCTCGCCTCAGGACACAGGTGAGGACTCACACAAACTGGACATGTTCACTACGGCAACACTGAAACAAAAACAAATGAACCAAGACACTCAAAGCTAAGGACACCTGTTCTTTTACTTCGACAAAGTTTATTGTTTATCTCAGTGGTGAGTACTTCCTCAACATTCACTTTCAGCTGGAATACAAGCCGTGTGTGTTTAAATAGGGTGGAGGTTGATTCTGTTTTAAGACTGATAAAGTCTTGCATCAGACAAGGGCCATTTGGACGAGCCGTGTCTTAAAGGCTTTACTTCTTTTGCTTCTGTTGTGTATTTTATTCATTTCATTTATTATTTCAAAGCAGCTGTTTAATTTGGCAGCGAGAAGACGATTTGTGAAGAGTGAATGTTGGATTATCCTCTTTAGTTTTTACTTTACGACACAACAGCTATAACATTCGGTGATGGAATGGTGTTTAAGTAGGGTTCGTTTGAAATATACAGTTGAATTATTAGCCCTCCTGAATTATTAGCCCTCCTCAATATTTTTCCCCAATTTCTGTTTAACTGAAAGAAGATTTTTTTCAACACATTTGTAAACATAATAGTTTTAAGCTTGATTTTAAGCTTAAAGTGCAATTTAAAGGCTTAACTAGATTAAATTAGGTTAACTAGGCAAGTTAGGGTAATTAGGCAAGTCATTGTATAACAGTGGTTTATTCTGTAGAAAAAAATATATAGATTAATAAGGCTAATAATATTGACCTTAAATTGTTTAAAAACAATAGTAAAAAAATAGTATTGGAGGCACTGTGAAAATTTATTAGAAATATTATAAATATTATTATAAGAAATATTTTTAAAAATATATGTCACAGAAGGGCTATTAGTTTTGGCTTTAACTGTACATGTCCATAGTCTCAAAATTACTTTAAACAAGCACATAAATAATCGTGAAGAGTATGACAGTGGTCTTAAATGCAGTGTGATGGGACTTATTATGAAAAAAGTTCTTGTTTTATATAGTCACTAACATATTCTGTATAGTTTGACCACTAAACACTGAGCTGCTGTGCTCGGCAAGCTTTTGGTAGGAATGAAATTATTCAGAAAATTCTGCATGAAAGGCCAAATAAATATTGACCTTAAAATGGTTTAAAAACTTTTTATTCTAGCCAAAATAAAACAAATAAAGAATTCTTTCTCAAGAAGAAAAAATATTATCGGAAATGCTATGAATTTGTTTTTGCTCCATTAAATATCACTTGAGAATTATATTATATTATATATATAAAAATATTTCACAGAAGGGCTATTGGTTTTGACTGTAACTGTACATGTCCGTCATCTGAAATTTACTTTAAACAAGCATATAACAGATAGTAAAGAATATGACGATGGTCCTAAATGCATATTTATGAGAGTTATTTTGGAAAAAGTTCTTGTTTAATATAGTTACTAACATATTCTGGATAGTTTGACCACTAAACACTGAGCTTCTGTGCTCGGCAAGCTTTTGGTAGGAATGAAACTATTCAGAGAATTCTGCATGAAAAGCCAATAAAGCGTCGAACGAATGAAGACATTTTTTCCTATTACAGTAACTGCCAGTATTCTGAAAGACAGATTACAACTTAAGTATTTCCTGGCCTACAAGTACTGGCACATTTTTCACAATCTTTCGTTGTCAGGCTGAGAGAGCAGAGATTGCAAGTTCTCAAAAAGTTGCATCAGCCATGCAGTTTGCTGTAAAATAAGCCTGTTAAACTGTTCTTGGTATTGTGTGTATTATCAAAACATGCTGCATCATTCATACACAAGTTTGTATAATGGCAACACTATGAAAACATTTCCGTGTGCATTTAAGGTAATGAGGGCTATGCCTCCAATACTTGAAGAAACTCTGTAATCCTATAGGCAAAAATATGTACTTCCTTATTATATAATAAACAAAAAAGTGAGAAATAAAAGATATGTCCAAATTACTCCTAAAAGATCATACTTTTCAATGGTCACAAAGTATTTACTTCAAAAGGCTGACACACCCACAATGACTCAGCCAATTGCAAGAATTTCAAGGTGGCGTTATCCATTCACATGATCAATGGCAATCAAGGTAGTGTGCTTAAGAAAACCTGTGTGAAATCAGTCTTTTGCTGAATTTAGAAAAGCTTGTTACTCGAACTGTTTCTGCCATTATTATAATAAAATATGTTTAGTAAAAATGTTTAAAGTTGTCAGATTAAAAATACTTCACTAGTGACTATAACTTAAACCTAGTTGCAGCTCCCACATATTCAAATTACAGTGTTGTTCTAAATTTTGCTTTTCTGCCTGCTTTTTCTTATGTCTTTTTGATAGGTGTGTATTCATGTGAAGTTTACACTCCTGTTGGACATTGTTAAATGTTGCACATGATTCTCACTGCTCACTCATTTTAGCACAATTTATTTTATTTAACTTTCAAACTGCACCTTTTCAGAACAGAATTTTAAGTTCAGTTCAATCTCAATTAATCACTAATGCCAAAATCTTTTTTCCTTTTTCTGTGTTTCAGTTTGTGTTCACAGAGCTTGAGCTTACAGACAGTGTTTTTGGAGGATTCTACAGTGTAAAATGGAGACTGTCAATAAAATGCCAAACGGTCACCATGATATTCCTATGAATCTAGAGAAAGAGTAAGTTTTCTCACTATTATGGGGAATTCTTTTAGAAATGTCCTCTACGTTTCCTTTTTCTCTGCCAAATCATATTATGGAGTTCATAAATTAAAGACACACATTTTATATGACATGGACTATATCAGTCTTTATATATTTATATTGGGTATTTTATAGAATATAAAAATTAGTGTTACTTTAGCATATTAGATATTATATTTTCTTTATATTTAAATGATATAAATAATATTAAAATGTGCTTCTTTTTTTGGTACAGTTGTTATTTGCTTTTGACATTTTGTCTATATAACTTTTTGTTTAAATCTTTTTAAAACAAAAAAAAAAAAAAAATGTTTCCATCTGGACAGTGACCCTTACTTGTGTTTGAGACCCCAGTTTACAAATGTACAGCTTTACTATGGTTGAAAAATTTTTTCTTTGTATAAACATGTGGTTTTGCATATTATCATAAGTAAATTGCAAGTCAGAAAGTGATTCAGTAGCTGGTTTTAAGTAAAAAAAAAGTTACTTTACAGAACATAAAAAAACATATTCATTCTCCTTAGATTTACCGGATTTGATGCCCTTGAAAACATGGCAGAAGGTGATCAGTTCCTCAGCAGCAAGAGCAATGGAAAGATAGAGACTCAGTTTACAGATGTGAGTATCTAAATTTCAGATTTACTACAAATAAAATGATAAAGCTTGGTAAAAATAGGTTGGAATGTTGACCTAGAATATAGATGTTAGTGTATACAGATAACCACTCTCAGAAATAAAGGTATAGGAGCTGTCACTGGGGCAGTACCTTTTCAAAAAGGTACATATTTGTACCTGAAGGGTCCATATTGATACTTCAAAGGTACTTTTTAGGTACATTTGGTTACTAATATGCACCCTTTAGGTACCTAGTGGACTCATTTGGTACAAATATGTATCTTTTGAAAAGGCACATGCTCCAGTGACAGCTCCTTTACCCTTATTTCTGAGAGTGTAATGTATAACATCAGAAAAAAAACTACTCCATTCTTAAATGAATCGAGTTGATGACCAAAAATAAAAAATTAAAAAATGAATCCATATTTTTAAGTTAAGTACTCATCTGTAACTCTTTCATTTCAGTTTGAGGGAAAGACGTCTTTTGGAATGTCAATTTTCAACCTCAGCAATGCTATAATGGGCAGCGGAATTCTGGGATTGGCTTATGCCATGGCCAACACCGGGATCATTCTTTTTGTGTAAGTCAAACTACACTTATGCATGCACAATTAGTCTGATTCATACCATAGTGCATGAAAGCTATAATATATTAAAATAATCATAAACAGAAAGAAAGTACTATGTATAAATCCCATTCAATTTAAAATGTTCTTGGCACATGTCCAAAAGTTACAATTTACATTTCAGACCAAGAGAGGAGAAAAAGCACCTCTTTTGGGCTCCATAAAGCACACCTTCTTTTCAAGGATTTTGAGAGGGAATACGTGTGTTACGTTTACATGTGTGTGTGCATTCTGACTGACCATCAAGGCTTCTTTGTGTCCATCTACATTCAGACACATACTTCAGCATGGCTCGGTCACGTCCACATTCAGGCTTACAAATGCTCAGTCAACACAAGTTAAATATTTGCATTTTTTAAAGGGGGGATGGTGGTGAGGACGTTTTTAGGAAGAGCTAGGAAAAAATTAACCACCTTAAAAATTGTTCTTTCATTTTTTATACTTTCGCTTTCACTATTCTTTCAGAATTAAAAGGTGCCATTTGGGTTAGTTAATAATATATTTTATTATATGTACACGTAAGATACTTATAAGAATCCATCAAAATAAACCATTTAAAGGGATAGTGTACCCAAAAATGAAAATTCTATCATAAATTGCTCACCCTTCACTCATTCAGAAACTATTTCTTCTCTTGATCACAAAAGAAGATATTATGAAAAAAGCTGGTAGCTGGCATTCATTGACTTCCATGGTAATTTTCTTTCATACTAAGGAAGTTGTTGGGTGACAGCCACCAGCATTCTTCAAATGACTTTCTTTTGTATTCAACAGAAGGAAGAAGCTCATAATAGTTTAAAAATCACCGGAGGGAGAATACATTATCTCTCAGAGAAAGGTCATTTTTATTTTTCAGGAAAAATATTCCTTTTAGAAATAAATAATATACAAAGGTGTATGTATACAAAGGGTTTTCACCTTGTAGTTTTTTTTTATGATCGACAGCAGACACTTTATAAAAACAGCAACAACATTCATTGAACGTATATGGTTTCTAATCCCTATGAATGATCTGTTTTTACGCGTGTAGGGACTCATGAGCTTAAACGTCACTGTGTCTATTTGATGCAGACTGTACTGACAGATCAGACCGGGGAGGGTTATAAATAGCCTGCTGTAATCAAATTAAAGCCTCTGTCTGCCTTTCACCTGAAACAGACTTTTAAAGAGCATTGTTTGATGAAAGACTGTTTGCTAGCAGTGTTCATTTGAATACTTTCTTAGCAGTAAAAAAAATGAAAATCATTTTTGCTAGTCAAAACGTCCAGCAATATGCAATTACAGATACCACTGAATGACACTAGGCGGAAGTATTAAATATTAACTGAAAGGATATTTGAAAGTTTTTTGTATACTTTCTGCCAAATTGACATTTTGTGTAGATGTGGTTGTGGCTTGCACTATAAAGACAAACACATTCAGCGTGTCTAATGCATCATTAATGGGATTAGAGTTTAGATTTGTGTCTTGTTTGTTATCTCATCACCTTGACGACTTACGATAATATCCTTGAACAGTTTGTCACCTAATCGTGACTAAACTAGCACATCTTAAAGTTAAATATGAGCTCAATGAGTCTGGCAGTCTGTGAATAACAAAGGCAAGTATTGGTGGCATTTTGTGGATTAGATTTCACACAATGACTATTAACACAGATTATGAGAGAGAAAGTTCAGCGGAGAATTAAACATCTGTAATGATTTATTTATTTATGATGACCAAACCTTACTTTATTCTGTGTAACATGAAGATCTTTGTAAAAGTGATATTTGTATATATTATTTTGCTAATACTATGAAAGTCAATGGGATTTGATATTGTTTTGATTCCTAAAGAATTTCACTGGATAGGCAAACACATTCTTCAAAACATCTTCTTTGTTCTACAAGCGAAAGCCTTCGAATGACACAAGTTAGGAAATATTGGCAGAATTTTACTATCATTATTTAGTTTTCTGCGAATTATCTCTTTAAATCTAAATGCACTGCAAAAAGCGATTAGTTGACTTTGTTTTTTTAGAAAATGAGCAAACACATTGCTTTTGAAATATCTAGTTGGGTTTACTTAAAAGATAAGCAAGCCTGTTGCCTTTAAATGAATAAGTAAATTAACTATAACCAGGTTTACTCTTTATTTTTTAAAGTAAAGTCAACTTGTCACTTTTAAGGCAATGTGTTGTAATTTTTTAATTACAGTAACTTAATTGCTTTAAACAGTGTGGGAAGTTGTATTGTTTTGTTGCCAATACCCAAGTTAATCATTTGTGTCTTTTTCTTCAGATTTCTGTTGATAACCATCGCTTTGCTCTCTTCTTACTCTATCCATCTGCTTCTGAGGAGTGCAGGAGTGGTTGGTGAGAAACATTTTCTCTTTTATGTCTCTAAAGACAGTCCTAACAACATTGCATTATATGATAAATCAGCATCTGAACTTTCCATTATGTTTGTTTTTTTTAGGCATCCGTGCATATGAACAGCTGGGGTACCGTGCATTTGGTACGCCTGGAAAAGTTGTTGCAGGATGTATTATAACATTGCACAACATTGGAGGTACAGCATATGTAATTAAATGATTACACTTTGATTCCATTACCACTCAGTACAACACGAGTGCTGAATACAGATCCACGAAAACTATTCATGCTGTCTTTCTTTGACTCAACAGCAATGTCAAGTTACCTATTTATTGTGAAGATAGAGTTACCTCATGTCATTGAAGGTCTCACAGGACTGCCAGACAACTCTGGGTGAGTACTGAAAAATACTTCTGATGGGTTCAGCTGTTTGAGACCATGTTAAAAGTTTTAGTTATATAAACAGAAGAAGGAATCTGAAACAGATGAAAGGAAGAAAGAGCATCATGTCAATTACATTTGATCTGTTCTTTCCCTTCATTATTTAAACAAGAAAATTGCTAGTGAAATACTTTGAGGCACAAAGTGGATCCTTCTCAAATATTACTGAAGAATATGTCAGTCATTTTGTTATTCTGTTTTTTTTATGTTCTGTAATGTATAAAAACATCTAAACAAAACTATTGTCAAACTAGTGGTCTCAGACATTTGATCCTTGTTAACTGAATTTTCCTCTCTTTTCTCAAAATCCTCTTTTTTGACTTCATTTTTTTTTTTTACTCTTCATCAGTCACTGGTATGTAGATGGGAGATACCTCATCATTATTGTTAGTGTCTGCGTCATTTTCCCACTGGCACTTATGAAAAGACTTGGTAGGTTACAACTACTTTCATCATTCATTTTGCTTTATCATTACATTATATTTTTTATAATAATCATATTTACAATCCAACATTCTATTCTACATTGAATATCTTTTATGAATGTCTTAAATAATATATATATATTTTTTTTTTCACACTGAAGTGTGGTCACACCATTTCTCTGCAAAATATACATTTAGAGTAAAGTTTGAATTAGAATTCATAAACTTATAATTCTGGAAAAAAAGTGAATTTTGAGAGACTTTTCTCCAAGATGTTAAATTTAAATTAAAATCTAAATCAAACTCTGAAAAAATCTAAATTCTTCAATATATACATTATATCACATACTTGCTGTATGTAAACTCACAATTGCAAAACAGAAATTCACAATTGTGAGAAAAGTTACAGTTACCTCTTTTTTATATATTATATTATATTATATTATATTATATTATATTATATTATATTATATTATATTATATTATATTATATTATATTATATTATATTATATTATATTATATTACTTTTAATTAGTAGCAGACTTTACCAGCTGAATAGAAAAATAATTTAAACCGATTTTATGTAAAGGTTGAAGGTGTACATTACAGAAATATTTATCATCTATTCATGCATTTATTTTAGGGTATCTGGGGTACACTAGTGGCTTCTCCCTCAGCTGCATGGTCTTCTTCCTCATATCTGTAAGTCCATCCACCTATGTAAATATACCAGTTTACACTAATTATCAAAACCGTGTACTTGTGACAAAATAAATCATGTTTCCTAACTGTGATGGCTTCTTAACTGTCTTCTCAGGTGATCTATAAGTGTCTCAGCAATTCTGGTATAGATTCTGAGAGCAACCAAAATGAAAAATGCACTTTTTCTAATGCAAGCATGATCAGTTCCACCACTGAAATAAACGAAATCAACTCCACCACTGAAATATGCGAAGCCAAACTTTTAACCATCAACCCACAGGTGAGAGATATGAGCTGCAAACACTATCATTTTGATCACATCTCCTGTTTTTCCTAGCTTTTAATGCGGTGAATTAATCACTTAATGTTTTCTTTAACCACAGACTGCATTTACCATTCCTATTATTGCATTTGCATTTGTGTGTCATCCTGAAGTTTTGCCCATTTACACAGAACTCAAAAAGTAAGTCTGGAAGTGCACTTTTCTTCTTTTCTATATGTGGTTTTGTGCATTTTGTAAATTTGCAATTTTTTCCTCATTGTTCTTCTAGTCCATCCAAGAAACAGATGCAAAAAGTTGCTAATATCTCTATTTTGGCCATGTTTGTCATGTACCTGCTGACTGCTATCTTTGGCTACCTCACCTTCTTTGGTAAGAAGAACTTCCAAAAATATATAGGATATCAAAAACATTATTTCAAGGTTTGTGGTATTTGAAGATGTTTTAACAGTCGCTGTGTCTCTGCATATGTGTAGCAAATGTGGATTCTGAGCTTCTGAAGATGTACAATAAAAACGACATCCTGATGTTGTGTGTTCGACTGGCTGTGCTGGTGGCAGTGACACTGACTGTTCCTGTCGTTCTTTTCCCGGTACATTTTCCTGCATTGTTAATCATTGCACTCATATATACACTAGCTTAAAAAGAATTTCTTGATGTAATATATCTGCACAATATGTGCTTTTAAGGATTCAAACTATACTGTAGCAGCGTTTTATTTTTTTAGCTGAGAGTTTTCTTTTAAAGGCTATTCACAGTTTGCTGAGACACTTTGCTAAAGATTATAAAAATGTTTTAAGCTAAGAGTAGCTTAAGTAGCATGGGTTGACCATATTGCTATGGAAGAGGCCAGCATGAAGCTAATTATGCAAACAATGATTGGCTGATGGGCACGGGGAGAAGCCTCTGTCAGAGATTTATCTATGGAAATGATGCAAAGCCCAATATCTTGCCATATTCAAATGAATATGTTTTGCTTAATTATTAATGTTTTAAAAAATGTACAAATTTCAGTCATTGTAGGATAGTTGGTTAGTCTTAGTGATCTAGGAGCTCTCTGCACTGCTTCTTTTGGTGCCAAAATGATTTGTGAAATACTCTTTAGGACTTGCATATTACTACTTTTCTCATAAATCAACAAGTCAGGACCTACTTTTTTACAGTTTAAGATGATTTGAGAGTTTAAGTCTTGATCAGGTGTAAAATGTATATGTATGGATTTATTAATTGTATTATTTTCATATTGTGACACCAATATAACTTATGAAAAAAATTTACATCACATATCTTTGTCCAAAATGACCATTCCAATGTTTTTATGCTTATAGCTTTTAAAAATTCATTGTAAAAATCAGAAAAATAAATTAATTAATAATGTTTAGATTGAGGGTCTTAAAAATACGTATTTTAAAAGAAATTATATTAACAAATGATATTTGAAACTCTCTCTTCTGGGTCAAAATGATCTCAAATGCATTATGAAGATCAACTGACAAAACTATTGGACATCCCTTAAACGTGTTTCCTTAAGAAATAAAACACTTGTGCATACAAAATGTCTCCAAAGCACAGCTGCACAATAATCTGCTTCACACATAACATCAATCAATGTCTGAACAACATACAACACTTTTGACGTCTCCTATAATCATGTTTTCTTCTAGATCCGCCGTGCCGTCTTGCAGCTTCTATTCCCTGAAAAGCCTTTCAGCTGGGTGCGTCACATCATCATCGCCATGTGCCTCCTGTTTGCCGTCAATCTGCTCGTCATCTTCGTCCCCAACATTCGTGACATCTTCGGCTTCATCGGTGAGTTGGATTTACCACATAGAAGATTCTATCATTCGAATGCAGCACTTTGTGATACATTTTATACTATATTTCAGGTGCAACATCTGCTCCCAGCCTCATTTTCATTCTGCCAGGAATATTCTACATTTACATCGTCCCTGAGGAGCAGGAGCCATTAAAATCTCGACCAAAGATTCTGGTGAGAATAAAGACAGAGCATGCAGAACTCCACTCTCACTCTTTTCTTTTTCACTTTCTCACTTCCTGTTATGTTTTCCAGGCGATTTTGTTTGTGACCCTGGGGTTCATCTTTATGATTATGAGCATTACTTTCATCATAATCGAGTGGGTCAATGGAAAGCAGTCGGTGGGCGGTCACTGACGGAGCTGAGACAGCGAAACAGATTCCAGCACTTAAAGACCAAATACAGCAAACACAAAATGCTGAGCCTGAAAACATGATTCAGGTTCAGGTTCATCCATCAGATAAGTCCAAAATGAAAAATGGTTTTCAGGAAGACTTTTACTATTTTTATAAAAGCCAGTTTTACTTGAAAAGTATTGCTGTTATGAATGGAATCAGATGGAATCTCCAAAATGACAACAAAGGATGGAAGACCTGTGAAACTACGATGAGAATCCACTCATCTTTATTGCCAAAGTTTTAAAGATGCAGACTGAATTCTACCTCCTACTAAACAGAGGAATTTTAGTCAATTAATGTTTTTATTTTGTTCATAGTGCATGTTTTGGGGTCCAAAAGTCCTTATTTATAGTAGTTTAATAAAAGATATTTCATTACAATAATATTAACAGCATACCCTTTTATATGAAGTGTTTTAGCAAAACCTGCTAAATTTAACTACAGTTGAAGTCAGAATTATTAGCCCCCCTGAATTATTAGACCGCTTGTTTATTTTTCCCCCAATTTCTGTTTAACGGAGAGAAGATATTTTCAAAACATTTGTAAACATAATAGTTTTAATAACTGATTTCAAATAACTGATATATTTTATCTTTGCCATGATGACAGTAAATAATATTTTACTTTATTATTTTTAATATTTCAAGACACTTCTATACAGCTTAAAGTGACATTTAAAGCCTTAACTAGGTTAGTTAGGTTAACTGGGTAGGTTAGGGTAATTAGGCAAGTTATTGTATAACAGTGGTTTGTTCTGTAGATTATCGATAAAAAATTTAGCTTAAAGAGGCTAATAATTTTGTCCCTAAAATGATGTTTAAAAAATTAAAAACTGCTTTTATTCTAGCCGAAATAAAACAAATAAGACTTTCTCCAGAAGAATAAATATTATCAAACATACTGTGAAAATTTCCCTGCTCTGTTAAACATAACTTGGGAAATATTTTAAAAAGAAGAAAAAAATTCGAAGGGGGGAAAATAATTCTGACTTCAACTGTATATCTTAAAACAAGAATTATTATATTATTTATTTTTTTACAATTCTAAAAATTTCTTAGTTCTAGTTTTGAAATTTGATTTATTGTCTGATGATTTAAAGTGCTTCTTTTATCCTCACTTCTAAGTCACTTTGGATAAAGTGTCTGCTAAATGAGTAAATGTAAATGTATTTTAAATCCCAGATATTCCACTTGGTCTCAGATCTTTGGACTCCACTATATGTAACTCTCAGATAACTTACATTTGAAATGAAGAATGTCCTCATATAGAAAACATGTATAACATTATTTAACAATGAAAGGTTTACAGTTTTGATATGGATAACACGATGCAAAAACAATGCTTGAATGTCAAAAGAAAGAACTTAAAGTAAATGTGTAAAGTATATGTATTGGTACGTTTTGTGTCTACACCAATGGAACAATATAAATACAGTAGCAATGTATGTTTGTTTTACAGTACACCTGCAGTGTTTAGAACCAGTCAAATTACCACATTTATTTACTCTGTTTTATAGAGCAGAAAGAATATTGCATTCCAGAAGCACAAAACACTGTTTTCAATGTTGTATGTCATTATATTTGTTGTGTACTTAAGAATACATTTTGAACATCTTGAAAATGAGCATACTTGAAAAATGTTGTTGGATTTGAGATATTTTTTTTCACATTGTGGTATATTATGACCCAGTGACACAGAAAATCACTCCAGGAATGGACTGAAAAAATTATGAATGCTATTTATAACTTCTTATGAATAGTCACTACAAAATAACATGGCATTGACAGCTGTATATATTATCTAAGCTTACAGAAATGTTTCTGTGGTCATATGACAACATGCCCATCACAGTCAGTTCTCATCTCTATCTGTTTATACAGACCAAAACTAATCTGTTCTGTGCTGTAACATTATGACAGTGCATAAAAAGTGTGCTTGTTTTGTATAGTTTTTCATGTACATATTTGTTTGATATTTTGAAATGAAACCAACTTGTATTGTACATCCATGTATATTTTATGTACATATTTTCAGTCTTTTTTCTGTTCAGATTGGACCAGAATGCTTACAGAAAATGAACAAATGCTTAAATCATTGATTACTGGGAAGTTTAAATTGAAAATTAATCCACATTATCCACATGATGATTTTTTTTCTCAAAGTGCCTGGTGTCAAATGAAAATAACAATCCCCCAGTAAATGTTCAGAAATGCTATTTATTATTGAAGACTTTTCTCTATGTACAGACGATCTTGAAAATAAAGTGAACTTGCATATTGAAGAGAACTGTTTTTATTTCATATAGCTAAGAATCCAACATCATAAGAACTCAAAATTCTCGTTTCATTCCAATTTAAATTCCCATTCAATTGAGCATGTCGCATTTGAAATTGCCCCTATTCCTATATAGGACACTATCTGAATGGACATTTGTAGTGATGTTCCAAACCATGGTGGATACGATCAAGTGATGTTTGCTAGTTGCCAATTGTCTCGTATATTGGTCTAATTTGATTCGTCCCATACTATACTGACTGACTGCTATGCTAGTTCAACTTTACAATAGCAATAGTTCTGATCAAGACATTTGAGGATGATTTATCTCTAAGGGGAACCTTTAGGTCTTAAATATCAGCCCAGCAGCTTTGATGACAGCAGGATACTGTTATTCTGCTGTTTTCCTATTAGCGCCAACTGCTATGAGTGTGAATCTGGTAGAAAATAATTTTCTAGTATAAATGGAATTCTACGGACACTACGGACAATTTAGCTCACCCAATTTACCTGTACCACATGTCTTTGGAATGGGGGAAACCGGAGCACCTGGAGAAAACCCAGGCAAATGCGGGGAGAACATGCAAAGTCCACACAGAAACGCCAGCCGAGGCTTGAACCAGCGACCTTCTTGGTCACTTCTGGACACTTCGCACCATTACTAAATACTCTGCAGTGTCTTCATGGGACAATAAAATATTCATTCATTGGATGTACGCCCTGCTGAAAAAAGAAAAACAGCTTAAACCAACCTAGGCTGATTGACTTGTTGAGCAGTCTGGTTTTAGAGTTGGGTATGAAGGGGTTTTGGTCATTTCTAAGCTGGTTTTAGCTATTTGTAGCCTGGTTTAAGCAATAAGCTGGAGATGGCTGGTTTGCTCTGGGCCCTCAACCTGATCAAGTTGGTAAACTCCCAGTCTGACCAGCTAAGACCAGACTGGAAATAGCTGAAACCAGCCTGGAAATGGCCAAAACCTCTCTAACTAGGCTGGTGGTTGACCAGCTAAAACCATCTTAGGCTCGTTTAAGCTATTTTTTCAGCAGCACGCTTCAGAATCTTGCCAGAAGTAGGCTTCTTGCCTACTGTGTTTCAATTATTATGAATTTTGATGTATTATTTGGCTCCCATACTGTTTTTCACATAGGCTACTATAGAGAAGTAGCCTATGCAATTTTCATTTTCATTCAGTCTTCCTACTTTTTTAAGTTTATAGCATGTAGGCCTATGTTTTCTGTAACATGACTGCATAACCTGTCATCTCTGAACATTATATTTTATTCTGCGATTATACAATCATTCAAAATCATACCTCTAACGCAGCACCGTTTTGTTAAAAATGGTTGCCATACACTACATACACATTTTTCTAGCTATATAACAAATCTAATTTGCTTGAATACATCAGCAATCAGAATTGTCCATGCAAAATTAAGGTTAATGGATTATTAAAACTGTTGATGGGAATTTTTAGTTTTGTCCCATATGTAATAAATTCCCACTTTTCTCCAGAAGGTGGCGCCCTTGATTGAATATGCGTCCACCATTTTCAAAATCACTTGTCAAATGTTTTTTTTTTTTTTTTGGTCTTTTTAATCGTTTTATGTTTTAAATTATTCAATACCTTGCTGAAAAAATACAGAATTGGTTTCCACTGCAGATACCATTAAAGCCCTACAATCCATCAATTAACTTTTAGAACCATTTTGATGGTTACTATCTAATGTGTTTTGGGGAAATATTCTATTAGAATTTATTGGATTAACATGCCATCAATAAAAGGCCAAAAGTAAAGCACTAATACAATTTCCATTAAAACCAATGTCATTTCTATAATAACCATTTTGATGGATTCTTTAAATTTCATTTCAGCAGGTAAAGGAATACTACATCCAGAAATTTCCCTCGGGCCTAGGGCTGGAACGGGTCAAAATTTCCACTATATGTAATTTGGTTGTATTTTATACATATTTTTTGTCTTTTATTTAAGTATTTCTATCAGTGTAGGATTTATATGTTTAATAATTAACTGTGATTAAATGCGAGTTTAAAATGTGTAAAATACTATTTTGATGGCACCAGAAATATTTACTTAGTAGACAAAAAAATCGAACATTTAAAAAGTACTGATAATTTGTAGAAATTACCAATAGTATATTTGTATTTTTTCATGTCTTGGATTAAGTTAATGTGTAAAATACAGGGGTGAGAGAATCTATACCTCAAAACAGGCAGACTTCAATAGAGCTGGACAACAAAAGCTAAACATTTCTTTTAATATTTCTTAGGTTTCTTCTATGGCTCATATTTCGTATGGTGTAGCTTAGCCTAGCCTACTAGAGCTACTTGTGTAACTCCAAAATTAGCATTTTTTCCCGAAGTAACGTTAGCAGTAGGCTCAATAGAGAAACGCAAAAACAGTAACGTTAGCCTGTTTACAGAATGAACTGACCTGCACTTGACGTCATGAGCATCAGGTCAGTAATTCTGCTACATATCACTGTTGTTTCTTGGAGAGGATGAACTCTTTTCGCTACAAATGGACGCATTTTCTCTATCCTCAAGTCCCTCGAATTCGTTTGACACCGTGAAAGCACGTGGCCCGTTGGTAGTCAATACAGGTTCATGATTCGGTTTCATCCATATTTTACACTCTATGGTTTCATCATAAAATGCCGAATTCAGAAATGAATAATTTGTAGGCCTACTTTATGATTATGAAAAATAATTATTATGACGACATTGATACTCGTTTAAATTCAGCTCATTATTATTGATTAGGGGTTCAATAATAATAATAAAAATCTAATTTATATGTAGAATTAATAGATAAATGGCAGTGGTCCACACCTGCTCAAGCAGTTTTTTTTTTTTTTTTCAGCAGAACATAATGGTTTGTTTTATGTGCTGGGTTAGATTCACATACTTTCCCCACATATTTTGTAAAGGGAAGAGAATTGATTGTTTTCGTGTTTATCTGCACTCTGTGTCTTCAGTGGTTCACTTGCGCTGGCTCTTCTTAGCGAGCTGGACACAACAATCTGGAGTCGTTTGGTCACATTTTGTATGTTTCAACAGAGACTCTTATCACACTTTTACAAACACATTTTTTGGCACACAAATGTGTTTTTGAAGCTTTGTACAACTACAAAATGATAACCACTAAAGTGACACAGAATGTTTTAACAATGTTTTTGGTTTCTTTATAGCTTTAAACATCTCAGGACCATTGCTGCCAATGAAGGATGAGATAGCTTATGTATTTCACCAATATAAGAATAAATAAATACATTTGTATTTAGTAGATGAAAGAAGGTCACAGGAAATTGGAATGAGATAAGGGTGAGTAATTACATCATTTTCAGTTCTGGATTAACTAAGACTTTAAAGTGATAAGATGCATTTGTCAAAAAAAGGCAGTATGCATGTTCAGATTTCCCAACTTTTTGTTCAACTAATTCTTTTTAACTGCAAAACTGAAACTGAAAAAATTTGATTATGTCAGCTTCTTGACCCACAAATTTCACATTTTGCCACAAAATGTTGCATCTTCTTATTTTTTTCTCTCTTTTTCAACCACAGTTATTACTTCCTCACCTCATCTGTTTAGTTTGTTTTTTGTCCTTCATATATAAAATACTTTACAGCCAGATGTCACTTGATAGCCACCAACCAGCAGAACACTGTAAAAATGCTTGGTTCAATATGGAGACAACATGAAGAAATTAAGTCAACTTTACAAATGTTAGTGGATTGAACATAAAACAATTAAGCAATTGTTGACAACAGCAATTATCAAAAGTCTTTTCTTGTTGTGTTTTGTACTTGCAAACAGTAATGGCTGTTCTGAAGATCTGACAGGGGCGGCCCTAAAGGGGCTTCCGCTCTGAGTGCAACATGAACATACAACAGCGTGTTACACTGACAACAAGGCGAGAGAATGAAAATAGAAAAAGAGAAAAAAAAGTGTGGTTGTCCATTTCCTGTAAACCTTTTGTCTGCTAATGCTGAGAGTAAGAACTAGGAAGAGAAACTCAATGCTCGCCGTTCAGCCTAGTCATCAGTAGTGCAGAGGAGATCTCTCAGTTTTCCCCTGCCTTCGACTGTACGTTTTTAACGGTTTGTTTAGACGGCGTATGAGGCCATGAGGCGAGCCGCGAAGGGGAAAGCTCAGGAGTGTTCGGGCAGCTCTTTGCTCAGTATACAAGAGAATGAGAAGCTGGAGGATCTGCTGGGCAGGAGGTGTGTGGTAAGTTCAGGGCCTCTCTGTGCAGGGACTGGGTGTAATATTAAGATGGGTATGGGTGATGGGTAAAAACACAAGTGGAGATATCTGCAAACTCTGGGCCAAACATTGATGAAAATGCCATGTTCAGACAAGTCCAGTGTGTTTATTTGTTTGCAATTATTGTTGTGTGACTTTTTTATGACAAGGTTGAATTGAACATTTAACACAATGTACTATTTTATACAAAAGCATTTTTTTAATGAAAAGTGTGCATTAAGAAATTGCGTATATATGAAGACAAGGAATTTTGAGTGTGTCTTTAACTTCTCTTTTTGAGAAGCTGTTATTTTTTCAGTGTATTCCCCCTCATTTATCTAGAATAAGAAGTGGAACATCACTTTGATCGTGTGAAATAAAATTGCCACACATTTTGCAACACTTGTTAATGCATTAACTAATGATCAGAAATTTATTTCTTGCAGTATTTATTCATTTTTATTTGCGTGAATGAATAAAAATACAAATTAGTTTGTGTTAGCTCAAGGTCGTTAAAAAATACTAACCACTGCAACTCTTGGTCAGTAACTTGGTTAGTACACTGTAAAAAATCATGGTTGCCTTAAATTTTTAAGCTGAATCAATTTAATCTCCATTGAACTCATATTTTGTTCAACCGACTTAACACAGCTTGTGTAACTTTTAAAATTAAGTTAGAACATGATTAACTTTTAATAAGTTGCAATGACCTAAAACATTTGCTGTCATGACTAATTGATCATAGAATTTTTTTAGTGTAAATGTTAAGATTGACGTCACCCAAGAATAATAAATGCTCAATGGGAATTGTTAGTTTATTTTAAGCAGTGCCTTTACCTACTGTTAACCTTATTTTAAAATATTATCTATTAAATGTATATTGCGTTGTAAAATATTTTATTCTGTAACGTAAATTTTTAGTAAAAATACTACAAACTGTCACTGTAAAAATTGTGGCTGTCTTAATTTTTTATTCGAATCAAATTAACTTATCAATCAGACTGACTAAAAATATTAAGTTAAACTTTGTATAACTTAAAAAATTTAGTTGAACCCTGATTTACTTCAAAGTAACTTAAAAACATTCATAGCCATTACTTTTGTCATATCATTTTTACAGTGTGAATATGGTTTATGGTAGTATTATATAGTAGTAGATGCATAGTAGTTCTCTTTTATGGCAACACACACTGTAAAAATCATAGCCATGATAACTTGTGTTTTTAGGTAATTGTGATTTACTAAACTAACCATGTTCTAACTTAATTTTAAGTTATGCAAACTTTTTAAGTCAGTTTAATATAACTTAGGCTCAAATGACTCATAGGGTTAATTTGATTCAGCTTAAGGCAAGCAGTATTTCTTTACAGTATTAAAGCTTTAAAAAATGTGTAAAATACTATTACTTTACTTGACATCACAAATTATAATATTGTTTTTTTACTTTAAATTTACAGCTTCTTTAAGAGTAAACTAGAAATTTCTTTGAGATACTCATAAACTTATTACATCCACAAATAACTCGTGGATCAAAGAATGTAGGTAAACCAGTGAATCTAAACGTGTTTCTCACTTCTACATTGGGTTATTTATTTCTGCTTTCTTTAATAATTCAATTATGACATATTCAGGACCAGATGCAGTAACTGGTGTCTATATTTATTATAGTAACATTTACTTTCATGCAGCCAAAGATTTTAACTAAAGTGACTATTGCTTCATATACAGATATGCTCCCGTTATCTGCAACTGCATTGTATTATTTCCACATATCACAAAGATCAAGCAAGAAATCATTTATAGGAAATTAACACTGATATCACTGACACAGTAACCTCCCTCCGAGAGCTTCAGACACAATATCTGCCATTTTGTGGGTATTTTCTGTGTTTAAATGCACAGTAAAGGCTTTTGTGATCGAAGGAAGAGAAGGTGTGAAATTGGCCTTCACGCTGCTTGAGCTCAAAACACCGAGAGGGCTTTGTCAAGGGAAGTTGCTTAAAGACATTTCCTGTCACTGTGCTTGTAAACAGTTGCTGTATAATCTGCCATTTTTAAGTTAATGTTGTGCAAACTTTGAATATTCCTAAATGTGATTTACATACAATCATGCTGAAGCTTTGTCAAAGTGTGATGCTAACAAAACGGGTCATGGAATTTCTGGAATATCTGGATATTTTAGATATTTTTTGTTTAAGTCAGAGATGCTTAATCTAGGGCCCACGAGCCAAAGTTGGCCTATGGTAACCTATGATTTGGCCCTATCTGAGAAGAGAGTGATGAGGAGGGTTGGGGGTGAATGCCTTTAACTGAGAAGGTCCTTTCTAATAAAGCATAACCCCTTTTAATTGTTTTATTGTTGAGCTAAAAGGAAGATAAAACTTAATGTTTCATTTAAATGTTGTACAAAAATCTGATGTTTAAAAATGTCCATATTGTCACTTTATGGACCGAGAACAATGCAGAAGACTTCAGATCAAGGCAAAAACAGGTGCAGCTTGACTTGTTTATTCAGCGTTAAACTCCATTCTGTTATAAATAGGATTGTTTTTGTCTTTACTGTTAAAATTCATGATCATTTTAATATATATATATACTGCAATAATTAATATAAGGCAATGTTTTCTAGTTATTTTTAAAAATTATTAATTACCCATGGAAATTGTAATTTAATACAGTTACATTTGTTTACAGTATACTTACATTTGGCCCACAGCCCTCAATCAAGTTTTTTTGTTAGTTTTCATAAGAACAAGTTTGGGCACCCCTGGTCTAACTCATGGAGTATTAGGGGCTTTTGTTTGTCGCTTAGCGTAATTAGCGTTATTAGTGTAATTTTTCTGTTTTTGTGAAGTTTATTTATAAACAAATTTCGAGAGGATCACGTGCTTATGATTGATCACAGCTGTTCCAACTTTAGCTAATGACTGATTATCCTATCAGACGATCCTTAACTCAGTATAAATAAGCAGACTTTTCTCATGTCAATATCTTCGTCTTGAAGAACCCCCCCAACCCACCTCCACCCCCAACCCCCCAACCCAACCCTACTTTCCCTTCTTTCAAACGGGCGTCACGGTGGCCGGCGATTAGCGCTGTTGCCTCACAGCAAGAATGCCCCTGGTTTAATTCCTTTCCAAACCAGACCGCATTTTTGTGCAGAGTTTGCTCGTTCTCCCCATGGTCGCGTGGGTTTTCCCCGGGTCCTCCAGTTTCCTCCCACAGCTCAAAAATAAGCACTCTAAACAATTAATCCAAATACTTTAGCTAAACTCTGAGTACACCTTTCAGCATCCATATCTGACAATTAGCTACAACAAGCAAGTGGGGGAGTCATCGAGATCTACCTGAGCTCAAACTCCCCTCTCGCCTTGCAACGGGAGGGAGCCCAGGGCTCGAGGGTCTTATAAGCTCAGGGCTCTCTCCCGGGACAGCACGCTAAACTAGCTTTATTATCAATCATCAGCTAAGTGTGAACTCTTGAAATTATGTTGTTATGGTTAGGCTTTCAGCAGTGCCTTTTATTCCCATGTGTCAACTGGTTTTTAGTCAAATCAAATGCAGCCTAAAGTAAACATGCCAGGAAATTTCTAGAGCTTTGTCTACAAAATGACCACTTTAATGATACGTAAATGTTTGAGGACAAAAATAACCATTCAATATAAAAAACAGATGTTAGGGGCAATTCTTTTTTACACATTTACACGTTTCACACGCTAGACCTGCTGTTCATTTAATTTCTAAATGTAAAATTGCTTAATTATTAGCCCCCTGTGTTTTTTTTCTTTTTCAAACATCTCCCAAAAGATGTTTAACAGCAAGGAATTTTTCACAGTATTTCCTATACATTTTCTTTAAAAAAACTCTTGTTTTTATTTCAGATTAAAAACAATTTTAAATTTATTATATATCTTGTGTACAGAACAAACTATCGTTATACAATGACTTGCCTAATTAACATAACTTGCATAATTAACCTAGTTAAACTTTCAAACTGCACTTTAATAATACTTTACATCTATATAGCGTTTTTCTGGACACTTAAAGCGCTTTACACACTTTTAGAGGGAATCTCCTCATACACCTGGATGACACGGCAGCAGACATATTACGCCAGACCACACACCACACATCAGCTGATGGTGGAAAGTAGACAAAGTGATGAAGCCAGTTATGATATGTGTATGGTTAGGAGGCCATGATTGACATTTTTTACGACACCAGAGAGTCAGGACCTAGGTTTAACATCTCATATAAAAAATGGGGCTCACTGAACAGTATAGAATCGCCTTCACTATACTGGAGCATTAAGACCCACAAAGGTTAAGCACCCCCTGCTGGCTTCTATAACACCACTTCCAGCAGCAACCTAGCTTTCCCATGTGGTCCAACATCCAGGTACTGACCAGGCACTGACCTTAGCTTCAGTGTGATCATGTGAGAGTTGCAGAGATCTAGCTGCCGGCTACTTTAAGCTAAATACTAGTAAAAAGTATCTAGTAAAATATTATGTCTATAAATTTTCTATAAAAAATATAATCAGGGCGAAGATAAAAATAAAGCAATCATTATAAATGAGCTATTACAACTATTATGTTGAAACTTTGTTAAAAACATTTTTCTGTTTAACAGAAATTGGGGACATAAATATATAGGGGTCTAATAATTCAGAAGAGCTAATAATTGTAACTTCGATCTTAAAGGTAATCGAGATACATTATTTATTGCTGCTCTCATATTTTCTGTTATGAGATTGAAAAATAATATTCAAGCTCAAACTCTTTTAACATTATGCAAAATTAGACTGCGCCATGTTTTTCCTTTAATCTTTAGTCATAGAAATTCTGGTTTTTATTCAGCGAAAATCATGGAATTTAACATTGTTTTGAGGCTGTTCATTATTTTAGACCTTATTTTGTGTTTTTGTCTGCAGTCTCTGTCCTCAGCGGTTGTGCAGTTGCTTATGGCTCTTCCGAGCGACCCGAATCGATGGACACCACAACAATCTGGAGTTGTTTGTTTCGTCAAGGACAGTTCTCTGCGCTCCTTTTTCATCCGTCTCTACGACATCAAGGTTTTGCATGTCATTTCGGTCTTACTGTAACGTAATGAATCAAGCAACTTCAAAAATAATCTTCTATTTTGGATTTAATACATACATAAAATATACATTAATACATACATAAAACAAACCATCTCAAAATAAGATTCAATTTACAGTAGTCTTCAAAACTATTGAACAACATCCATTGATCCACTTCAAATGTTGACTACTGTATGTATGTGTGTGTGTGCATGTGTGTGTGTGCGTGTGTGTGTGTGTATATATATATATGGCGAGGCAGTGGCGCAGTAGGTAGTGCTGTCGGCTCACAGCAAGAAGGTCGCTGGTTCGAACCTTGGCTCAGTTGGAGTTTCTGTGTGGATTTTGCGTGTTTGACCTGTTTTTGCCTGGGAGAAAAGTGGAGATGATCTAAACCATGTTACTTCCCTTCAGGCAGGGAAGCTGGTGTGGGAACAGGAAATCTATAACCAGTTGATGTACCAAAAGACTAAACCCTTTTTCCACACTTTCCCTGGAGATGTAAGTATTTGCCTGATGTATCTTCATGCTCACTGTCATTATCTCAGTTGCCTTTAACATTTAATGAGTATTCACAGTGTTGCATGGCAATAATCTTTTTCTTTGTTTTGGGGAAGTTTTTATTTCTCTTTCCTGTAAAATTAATTTAGCGTGTCGTTAGTACTTCCTCATAGAGCTGTCTACAACAAAAGCGTCTGCTGTTGCATTTGAGCATGCAAAAGGAGAAAAAGTTACTCATAATATTTGCATGTATGATGGATGCATGAAGTCCTTGCTTATAATGAAAAAAACAACTGCAATCATTTAGTTTGAGAAGTCAAAATGCTTTGAGAACTCACAGTGTGGCTTGTTGGTAAAGATAAACTATTGAACCTGCTCAGTTTAACCACTGACGTCCTGTGGAAGAATTTTGCACAGAATCTGAGAAAGTTTGGCCTTATAAACTGCACTAAATAGAGCAAACAGTGTAAAAGCAACTAGTTGACTTAACTTTTATAAAGTAAAACGTTGCCTTAAAATGATTAGGTAAGTGAACTGTGCATAATTTTAAAAACTAACTTAAGTCAACTTAACAGTTCCAAGTTACAACAGGTTTCCTCACTTTTTTAAGGTAAAGTTAAACTTTTTAAGGGAACGGGTTTACTCACGTTTATAACTAGAAACTAAGCACTTTTCATAGTGTTAATTACTCTCAAATATGACTTTTGCTGATTGTTTAAACTACTTTTTTTAAATAATTATGTTTATTGGATTTTCACAAAAGTACAGACATAAAAATACACCTTCAACGCAAGGAAAAGTATTAACACAAAACAATCAAGAGAAAAAAAGAAAAAGAAAGCAGATGGGGTGACAATTATTTTTTTTTAATTTACCATAAAATAACGGCCGTTAAAGTACAGAAATTTACCGTAAAATACCAAACGTTAAATTACAGAAATTTAAGGAAATGTCTGTAATTTAATGGCCGTTATTTTATGGTAAATTTCTGTCATTTAACGTCTGTTATTTTACTTTTTCCGGCAACGCAGCTGCTGGAAAAAAGTAATATAACAGATTTTTTTTACAGTGCACTTAAAAAATTTATTTTACCAATAAGGCTAAGACAAAGTTCAAAATAATCCAAATATGGAGTACAAACCTTGAAAAAAAAATCTGTTTTTTTATTTTATTTATTTTTTTAAAGATGTAAGATGATTCCAGAGGAAAAAACTCAAAAATGATTGTGCCAATTTTTAAGTGATGGAGATTTATTACTAATCCAATTAAGTAAAATATTTTTTCTAGCAGCAAAGTTAATATATTATACAATTTCTTATTAGCTGATGAGAAAAATGTGTCCATTGTGTTAATCAATGAAAATGGGTCAAAATCCAGCTGCATTTTAAAAATCTTTTCCATTTCCTCCAACACCAAAGAGCAAAACCTTGAGAGGGGTCTGGATGCAGACCTGGTGCAGTGCAATCTGAGCTGCATCCAATACTTTTTAATGGGCTTACCTAACCCCACCCCTAACCCTACCCCTCACAGTGATGTCACTCGCTTCTTTTGAGTGCATTGTGTCTGACATCGCATCGCTTAGTGATGCAATCTTGGCTTGCATTATAAAGGCTGCATCCAGATACTATTGAAAACATTTGCAGACTGTTACATGACCAAATAAATTGTGTTAAAGTACCTATTTTGGTTTTACATTTTAAACACATTGGCGAATTAGAAGGGTTAAAAAGATGTCTGCGTTAGGAAAGACATGGAGTCTATATATTATTTTTGATTGTGTTTCTCTTGTACGTGTACAAACAGATATTTTCTTAGCATTAGATCAAATTTCATCCCATGTTTCCTCATTATTGTGAGTATCTGACTCATCCTCCCAATTAGTTTTAATTCTCTGTACATTTGGAGATTGGATTAAACGTACTGACCTATAAAATCGTCCCACAAACATCTTTCAAACTACTTATTTAAAATGAGTTAAAATGAGAAACAACAATTCAACAACAAAACTTAGGCGATTTATATTCTAAATTTGTGAAAACTATTTAGTTAATCGATTTGAGTTCTGACATGAAGGAATTGTGTGAAACCCTGCATTTTTTACAGTGTAGAGAAGCATTCTGGCTTTAAGGAATACTCGTGATCCATAGCATGTTAATGTTCAGCGCTGTGCGTGTATGTGAAGAATGGGAGTTTATCAAGATGTGTTAGTTTTAAAGGCTGTTTAGTTTTTTGTCACCATTGCGGTGATCAATGTTCCCTTTAGTGGGGTTTATTCAGTGTCATTTATTTATGTGAACCTTGATATATCAACAATTCCTTTAGTCGAGTCAGGCAAAGTTTATTTCTATAGCTTTATACTATACAACAATGTTTCTCAACCCTGTTTCTGAAGGCACACCAACAGTTCACATTTTCAACCTCTTCCTATTCAAACACTAAATCAAATCATTACAGTAGAGGAGACTCGAAAAACCTGAAATGAATGGGTCAGATAAGGGGACATCCAAAACAAATACTGTTGGTGTGCCTCTGGGAAACACTGCTGTACAATGTAGACTGCACAATGCAGGATGAACAATCTTTTATAGAACATGTGAATCAATTTTGTGTTGGAGGTGTTGACAGGTGTGTGAGTATTAAATGTTCTTCAAATTTTACATCATGACTTAACTTTGATTCAGCTTATGCTAAAGGAGAGACTTGCTTTGAGTGTTAGTATGATGCATTTACAAAGTTACAAATTTACAAAATGTACACTACCTGACTAAAGTCTTGTTGTGAGAGAAACAAATAATGACTTCTAGTTGATCATTTGAAAAAGTGACAGAAGGTAGATTTTTCAGATGAATCATCTGTTGAACTGCATCTAAATCATCACAAATACTGTAAAAGACCTATTGGAACCCACATGGACCCAAGATTCTCTGAGAAATCAGTCAAGTTTGGTGAAGGAAAAAAAATCATGGTTTGGGGTTACATTCAGTATGGGCGCATACGAGAGATCTGCAGAGTGAATGCCAACATCAATAGCCTGAGATTTCAAGACATTAGTGCTGCCCATTACATAACAAACCACATCAGGGCAAATTCTTCAGCAGGATGGCGTTTCTTCTCATACTTCAGCCTCCACATCAAAGTTCCTGAAAACAAAGGTCAAGGTGCTCCTGGACTGACCTGTCCGATCACCAGACATGTACATTATTGAGCATGTCTAGGGTAAGATGAAGGAGGCATTGAAGAATCCAAAGAATCTTGATGAACTCTGGGCGTCCTGCAAGAACGCTTTCTTTGCCATTCCAGATGACTTTAAACAATCTAGAGGCCTTTGCATTTCATAAAAGCCACTTCTGATATCAAATGATCAGTTAGAAATCAAGTGATTATTTGTTGTTCCTTAAACTTGGATAGGCAATAAAACTTTTGTCAGGAAGTGTAATATAGGGTTATATACAAAAGTTTGGCAAGGCGAGTTAGTACAACAGTAGGTTTGGTTGAAGTCAGAATTATTTGCCTTCTTTTTTAAATATTGTCCAAATTATGTTTAACAGGGCAGGGCAAATTTCACTGTATGTCTGATAATATTTATTCTTCTGGAGAAAGTCTGATTTGTTTTATTTCGGCTAGAATAAAAGCAGTTTTAAATTTTTTAAACATCATTTTAGAGACAAAATTATTAGCCTGCTTAAGCTATATTTTGATTGAATAGTCTACAGAGCAAATCATAACTATACAATAACTTGCCTAATTACCCTAACCTGCTAAGTTAACCTAATTAAGTCTTTAAATGTCACTTTAAGCTGTATAGAAGTGTCTTGAAAAATATCTAGTCAAATATTACAGGGGTAATAACAATTCTGACTTCAACAACTTCAATTTGCTCTTCAGTGTTTGGACTATCAGTAATGATTTCAAACCACACTGAACTAAGCTAAACTGAACTGTACTTAAACACTAAAAACTGAACGACCCTGATCCAGTTACTATGACCATTTATGTGAAGCTGCTTTGACACAATCTACATTGTAAAAGCGCTATACAAATAAAGCTGAATTGAATTGAATTGAATTGAACTGTGTCAAACTTAACTCTGTATCTCTCCCCAGGACTGTCAAGTGGGTTTAAACTTTGCAGATGTAATAGAGGCTGAAAATTTCTTTGCTGTAGTGGAGGACAAGATCATGCAGAGAAATAATCGCTTCGGTATTTAAAGTGTTAATCTAAAATATTACATTTAAACTTATTTTCTATCATTTCAAACTACTTCAAACACCTAATGATGAAGATGATCTAACTAGGCGTGTCTGTGAATGTTTTCTTTTATATTAAGCGGAGAAACAGCAGAGAAAAGGATCAGAAACAAGAGGTAAGACACTGTCAGTTCTCATAGTCACTTCAATAATAATTATGTTTAATAAAGTGCATCTGTAATACAGCGTTTATATTTATAGATCGTGGAGCATTGCCACCACTTCCTCCACCAAATGGTGAGACTTTCTTCCACTATTACTGTGCTCGTCTTGTGAAATACTGAAAGCGTCTGTGCTTTAAAGGTTGTGCAGACATTAACTTTGTCTTCAAAACCCAGGCACTCTAGTATGTTTCTGGTGTTTAAACTGTATTAATGAACGTGTATAATTGGTTAATATTTTAAACATTTCTAAATAAAAAAACAATATCATGTCCAATAACTAAATAAACATGCACCAAATCTGATGTTCAGTGATATAAAAGTGTAAGCATTAGCTGTCTCTCTTACCTCTTTCTCCATGCCTCCAGCGGTACCAAGTAATGTGCAGAACCAAATCATCCCAACCAAATCAAAGAAAGAAAAGAAAGAAAAAGAAAAGAAAAGTAAAAACAAAAAAGGATCAAAACTGTTAAAGGGTGATATTGGAGCACCAAGTGGGTTTACGTAAGTGGATCTGCTTTAACCACGATAAAGTAAACGTATTCTTTAGAGAAGATTTTGGCAACTCTGGTTCTGGAGGTCCACTGATCTTCAGAGTTTAGCTTCATCTCCAATCAAACACATACACACACACACACACAATGGACTATTTAGGTAATTCAGTTTCATATAGCGCATGTCTTTGGACTGTAGGGGAAACCGGAGCACCCGGAGGAAACCCACATGAACACGATGAGAACATGCAAACTCCACACAGAAATGCCAATTGGTGCAGCTGGGGCTTGAACCAGTGACCTTCACTGAGCCACCGTGCCGCCCCAATCAAACATACCTGCCTGAAATTCTGAAGACAATTTTCAGGTGTGAGTGTATAGGGATAAAGCTAAACTCTGCAGGACAGTCACCCTCAAGGACTGCAGTGTTCCCATTGCTGTTAAGGAGTTTTTTTAAAAAGAGCTTACATTTCATTGTGTTATGCATTTAGGCATGTCAGTCATCTTGGCATGGCTGGCAATAGCATAGACCCAGACGTGAAGAAACTTCTGTCCTGCGCTGGGATCAGTGAAGCAGCTATGGAAGATTCAGAAACCTCTCAACTCATCTATGATGTCATCGAGCGTTCAGGTGGAATGGAGGCTCTTAAAAAGGAAATGAGCCAGCAGGGTAAGTCACTGTAACCTGCACTCATCTGACAAACTAACTTCAAATGTTATTTACCCAAGGTACCCAGTTCTGTTCCAGGAGACTGCACATTTTTATGCACCGAGAGTCATCGTGGTGTCGACTTAAAGTTATTTTTATTAGCAACACAACAGTTATCGGCCTAAAACCCTTTGCTTGCCATTATTCAGAGACAGCGCTTGCCTGCCTTTGTAAAACTTATATGGAAATTCATTTGAAATTCAGTCATAGTGCATGTCCTGAATAAGTTACAGTACTTTTGTGTCTCCTAGCTGTAAAATACAATGACGATTAGTGTAGATCAGATTGCATGTAAAACAGAAGAGGTATACAGGTCAACAGGCAGGTGCTGATAGACTTTGTCTCTGATCCTTCATTCTTTGAAAAATTTAAAACTCATTCAGATGAAAATATTTTAATATATACTTGAAACCTACCAGTCCTACTGCACCCAACCTGGTTTGAGCTGGGATCAAACTGCCGATTCTTTGCATGGTAGTTGATTGCCCTATCAAGGGGTCTAAAGACCATGGCCTCTAGAGTTGGTCGCTAGAACAGAGGAGTGAGGTTTACCTGCGTAGTACTTTGCTAGCTGGCCTCTGTTACACTCTTAGCCTTAAACCTCACTCCCATCCCGGACAAGCTCCCACATGTAACCCATCCTACTGCACCCATCTTGGTCTGAGCTGGGATCGAACTAGCAATTCTTTGCATGAGAGTCAGTTGCCCTAACAAGGAGTCTAAAAAAATGGCCTCTAGAGTGTCACTAGAGCACCACTAAAGGTCAGAGGAGTGAGGTTTACCTGCATAGCACTTCACTAGCTGGCCTCTGTTACATGTGTTTTAAATAAATTAAAAAAGGTTAGAACCCCAAGAATATGATTGGATACGGATTGAGTGTATTCTTTGATATCTGTGTAGAGTCTTCTCGCCCTCCTGTTCCAAGTGGACATCGAGGCTCCCTTCCTCAAGTTCCATCCGGGTCAGCACCACCACCTTTGCCACAAGGTAGAATGGGGCCTCTACCACCTGTCCCAGGTCAGGGTTCTGCTCCACCTTCCCAAAGAGGCTCCCTTCCACCCACACCTCCAAGAGCAGCGGGATCAGCACCACCCCCTGGTGGACTTCTGCCAGCCCGCTCTGCATCATTAGGGCCCCTACCAAATGTTCCTCCCGGAGGGCGTACTGGGCCTTTGCCTCAACCTCCAGGACCTCGAAGTGGACCCTTACCACCTCCACCTACGAATCGAAGTGGAGGCTTGCCACCACCACTCCCAGGTGAACGTAGGGAGTCTTTAGCCCCGCTTCCAGGAAAGAGACCTGGGGCACAAGGGTCCGAAAGGCGAGGTAATTCCCTGCCGCCACAACCTGCTCAGACTCGACCACCACTACCTCCAGGAGCAAGAAGTTCCCCCTTACCTCCACCTCAGAGAGACAATAGTGAATTCTTACCACCTCCACTGGAATCTGAAATGCCTCCTCCACCTTCTGATTTCTTCCCTCCTCCACCTTGTGATTCGTTTCTCCCCCCTCCTCCTGACGACTTTGTTAATTCTATGCCTCCACCTCATCCCTCTCAATCCAACTTTCCTTCCCGAAACATTTCCTCTGGCTACGCACCTCCACCCCCACCAATCTCCTCCAAACCCAGTGGAGGCGGCCCACCACCTCCACCTCCTCCTCCCGCAGCTCCTCCTCCACCACCAGCTGCTCCTCCTCCAATGAACTTTGGAAGCAGTCCCTCTTCTGCAGCTGCTCCTCCAGCATCCAGCGGTGAGGAAGGAGGAAGAGGAGCATTACTAGCCCAGATCCAAACAGGAATGAAGCTGAAAAAGGTGATTATACACACGGACATTTAAAGGATAGAGGGAGGGGGGGGGGTGCTTTAAACTGATTTAAAAAATATTGCTTAGACATTTTGAGAGTTTCCATATTTTAAATAACAATGTTTTTGTTTTTTTTCAACTTCTGAATTCTACAAATATATTAGTGATGTTTGGTTTCTTTTTACACCCTAAATCGTCAAATTGTAATATTTTCTAAAAGAACATGTGACTGGAGTAATGACTGATTAAAAGTATGTTTTACCAACTCAGATATAAGTGAAGTATTGTATGTGTCTCTTTCCCAGGTTACTGCCAGCCAAGAACCGCCTTCACCTGCTCAAGATTCAGGAGAGGGAATAGTTGGAGCTCTCATGATGGTGATGCAGAAAAGGAGTAAAGTCATCCATTCATCCGGTAACCTCAATTACTCAAGATTTTTTGTCAATGTATATGAAAATGATAAAAAAAAAAAAAAAAAATATATATATATATATATATATATATATATATATATATATATATATATATATATATATATAAACAAAATAGGTTTGATTAATTTTTTCAACTTTTTACTGTCTTATAGATGAGGATGATGAATTCGACGATGAAGACGATGATGATGAAGAGTGGGATTAATTGTGATCTTATTGAATTTTTCTTCCAAGTGTGTCAGTAGGTTTGTTTTGGAAATAAACAACACTGATTCAGTGAGTGTTTTCTCAGGAGATGAAAATGCAAATTCAATGCATTTTTCTCTAGGCACCTTCACCGATATTCCACTTTAGATCGATGAAGTACAGAAAAATTATACTATTATTTAAATAATAATATACAACAAAGCCAAAAACAAAATGCAAACAAACAAATGTTAGGGTCAGCTTGAATTGATTGGGATTTTAAGCTTATCACACCATTTTTCATTAGTACGAAAACAGGGTATTTATTTAGAAATTTAATAAACATTGCATTTGGAGGGAGCACAAGATGACGGCAAGAAAAATTAAATAAAAATAGCAATTAAAATTACATCTCCATTAGTGAACATATTGAACATAATAATAATAGACCTGCTGCCAAAGTATATATGATGCTAACGTAGAGTACTGTAAAGAGCAGTGGTCGCTAACCTGCTGATCATGATCGACTGGATGATCTTTATCACTCCCCTGGTAGATCCTGAAAATGACAGAAGAATAAGTACAAGAAATGCATCTCGAGTGATGCTTCTCTCTTTATTTTGTTTGAACCAACTGCTGATTTTATTTTCATTATTGGTAACTGCAGCAAACGTCGATATACAGCTCCTCATATAACATCCCACACCAGCAAGGTGTATGGCCTTATATAATAAGGCTCACGTTTTACATTTGCACCTACAGCACCGAGTTAAAAACATCTCAGCTTTTTTTTTTTTTTTTTTAAATATCTAAACTGTGAAAATGCAAGGCAGATAAGCAGCACACAAAACTCTGACTGCTAATAAACAACTTTAAAATGGCTCCTCTCTCTTCAAACAACATGTTCGGTGTGATCTGGGCTCTGAGCTTCCACGATATGTTCAGCAGTTTGCCTTTATAACATTGTGAATTAATGCTGCCAACTATTGTACAAAACATTTGCTGAATTAAATTATGATGTTTTAGTATATTTATTATTTTTGTGAAAGTTGTTATTATTTGTTTTATGATTATTATTTGTAGAATTATATTACAACTCATAAAATGCTACTGTAGTGTCTGTAGAAAATCATTTTAGCAATCTTTTTGTTGTTGTTGTTTTGTTTTGATAGCACTCAATGTAATCTGATTACTGCTAATTTCCCAATGCAATGTCACCCATATTTCCACCCTTCCAAATGTCATCCAGGCATTGTCACAGACTGTCTCGTTAAATTACATTTAAAGTAATGGTTAAACTAGTGCTTTTTACATAGTTTAAAAATGTAAATTAAGTGTCTCAAGCTGTAAATGCAAACGAAAGCTTTATTTTTTTGTCAGTTTTTTGATCGGTAGATCTTGCCTTTCCACAAGGCTTAGGTTTGGAATCTAGAGTTGGTGATCACTGATTTAGAGTGATGAGAAGATTTCAAAGTCTATGAGTGTATTTAATGTGTTCTATACCAGTGGTTCTTAATTCCAATCCTCAGGACCCCCTGCCCTGCACATTTTGTATGTCTCGCTTGTTTGAATCTCATTGTTACTGATCTGATTAGAATCAGGTGTTTTAGGTAAGAAAAGCATACTGCTTAAAATGTGCAGTGTGGGAGGTCACGTGAAGTGGAATGGACTGAATTTTTCCATGACGTCATGTAGGGTCCGGCTTGACGTCATGCAGTGCATCCGAATTTCCATACACAAAACTACCAATAGAAAATTCACACAGATGTACAGATACAGTTAGAAGACGACTACGGCTGTTTCCTGTTGTCAAGGTGAGACATCTGACATCTCAAACTTACCGATCAGCCAGATTTCTGCTTGAACCGAGAAAACTGGACTTTAAACGGAGCGTTGTGTTGTTTTGTGTTGCTGTCTTTAACGTCGGCAGTAAGTTGGTACTTGTCAGCATTAGTCAAATAAAGATTTCAGAAGTTTACATAGGTGCTGCACATTTTTCACAGAGTCAAATTTAAGGATTTGGGACTTTTTTGTGTCCTAAAGAATAAGTAGGTAATAAATAAAATCATGGGGATGTCCAATACTAGCGTTTCACTGCAATTGTTCACAGAGAACAGCTGATTAACACATTCATCTTATTCACTTATTCATCTTATTCACATCCTATGCACAGTCTGTGTCTATCTATCTACAATTGAAGCTAGAATTATTAGCCCTCCTGAATTATGAGCCCCCCTGTTTATTTTTTTCCTCAATTTCTGTTCAACGGAGAGATGATATTTTTCAACACATTTCTAAACATAATATTTTTAATAATTCATTTCTAATAACTGATTTATTTTATCTTTGCAATGATGACTGTACAAAATATTTTACTAGATATTTTTCAAGACAGCTTAAATTGACATTTAAATGCTTAACTAGGTTAATTAGGTTAACTAGGCAGGTTAGGACAATTAGGCAAGTTATTGTATAACGATGGTTTGTTCTGAACTATCGAAAAAATTGCTTAAAGGGGCTAACAATTTTGACCTTAAAATGGTGTTTAAAAAATTAAGAACTGCTTTTATTCTAGCCGAAATAAAACAAATAAGACTTTCCCCTGAAGAAAAAATATTATCAGACACACTGTGAAAATTTCCTTGCTCTGTTAAACATCATTAGAGAAATATAAAAAAAAAAAAAAAAAACTCAAAGGGTAGCTAATAATTTTGACCGACTTTTTTATGTCTATTTAATGTTCGAATGACATGAAATAGAATAACAATATTGTGTGTGATTCTTATTAATCAAACCAAATCATTCAGTATTGAATCATTCAGAATTGTTCAGCATTGAATCATTCAGAATCATTTACTATTGAAAAAGAAACAACTGAACACAAGCCCAATAATCTAGTCTTAAACCACAATGTGCAACATTAATATTTTCCATTTGTTCTGAATTTTCCTGGGAAGTATCTCATTCATTCAAAGGTAAAACGGAACTACCACTACACTGAGAAGCAGAAGTGAAGTGACGTCATTGTGAAAAGGGTCTATTGGGAACCACTGTTTTATACAACAGGCTGATAAATACAGAAATAAATCAATACAGAAAACTGCTGCAGTCGATGTAAAATCAAATGTTGATGGCTTTTTGAAGTGTGACCATGCAAAGTTTATGTTATGTAGAATGTTTTATGTGTTTTGTAGCATTCGATTTGTTTATTCAATAATTAAATGTGAATCAGCACTGAACGTACTCACCATGTGTACTGCAAATACACTCAAATGTGAACTGTAAAGTGACTCTACGGCTCACAAATTATTGCCTGTTTATTTGAATGTTTTTTTTTCTTACAAGACAACATCTAAGATCAAGACAGAACATTGCCATTTACAACCAGACTAGTCTACCGTGACACGGACACACATATTGTGAAATCTCTCCAGTGTGAAATATGATCTGTGTGACAATACTCTTGCTTAACCAGACACCAAGCTGGAAACTAAATGCACAGCATACAAGTGTTACTTCCTAAACATTGAAATAAATATACAACATATTTAATTTGTCAATCATGCAAAAAAAAAAAAAAAAACAATGCCCTCCACCCTTACTCGGTAGATCATTCAATAAAAAAATATACAACTTCAAATAAATATATCTTACAAGTGGTGAGAAAACAGCCACAGACACGGAGACGAGCGTTCTTGATGTTTGGTAATGTCATTAATAACCCAGCTATTAGAGTCCATACATATATTACTATTAAACACACACACATAAAGTACTTTTACAATTTCATAATCCATGTGGAACATTAGAAATTGCACAGGCCCAATGATCGGAACTTTTTAGGCAACTTTGATTCCAGACATCAAAATAGTGGAACGTTTTTAAAGCTGAGGTAAAACCCTCTTTAAAGGTGCGTCGTGGTTTATTAGTCGGTTTTTATTTTGAATTAAAGCCAGTATGACGGTATCCTGAAGGTTATCCACAGCTTATTTTGTGAGCTTAATAAAATTGGTAATACTGAAATGCTTTCAAATTACTGTGGCAAATGGAAATGTTAAGTCCTAAATCAACGCCAGCTACAATCTAAGTACAACAGATGAACAGTCACATACTTAAATGTTAGATCAGTGAATCTATGCAGGATGAATGAAGGAATACAAACAGTGTCCCACAAAATTAATTTGGACTTTTCTGTGAATATTATTTCAGCATATATATATCAGATCAGATTTTTTTTCTGTGTTATTGTTAATTATTTATTCATTTTCTTTTCGGCTTAGTCCCTTTATCAATCAGGGGTCACCAGAGCGGAATGAACTGCCAACTTATCCAGCACGTTTAACGCAGCGGATGCCCTTCTAACCGCAACCCAACACTGGGAAGCACCCATACACTCTTTTATTCACACACACTACGGCCAATTTAGCTTATTTAATTCACTTATAGCGCATGTCTCTGGACTGTGGGGGAAACCGGAGCACCCGGAGGAAACCCACGCAAACACGGGGAGAACATGCAAACTCCACACAGAAATGCCAACTGACCCAGCCAGGGCTTGAACAAGCAACCTTCTTGCTGTGAGGCAATCGTGCTACCCACTGCACCACCGTGATGCCCTGCAATTTTTAATTAGTTAATTAAATTAAAGTATCTGAATCATTTTAAGCACTGTACAATTTTTATAAACCTTTATGAGTTTAAAAAAAAAAATCAACTTTCATAAATTGATTCTTCATTTGTTAACTTTACAACAACAATTTATTTATTTTTAAGTGTCCAAAAGTTTTTAGCATTTCTAAATATTTAGAACCACGATTTATTAATTATTTAAGTTTGTTTGAATAATTTTTTATTTAATAACATTCATTTTTAAGTGTAACATTTTTTTGTATTGTAAAAATGTACTGATTTTGAACAATATAAAACTGTATTAATTTGTATGTGTCCAAACAATTAATTATGAACATTGTCAGGGGCGGATTTAACTAATAAGCAAAGTAATCAGCCGCTTAGGGCCTCAGAAAAACTGATGGCCTGCAAATAAATACCTAGAAGAATAAATTACACTATAAGTTATATACAATCGGGCTGGACAATTTGGCCTAAAATCTAAATCTTGATTAATTAAACATTTTAACTCGATTACGATTAATGAACGATTAATTTAATTGTTTATTAATTTATTTTTTGACAGGTTTTGTACAGTAAATATGCTCTCATATTACAAGTAAGAGATTTCTGAATGAAGGGTGCATTACTTGATTTTAAAATGATTCATAATCCTTTTCGAGACTGATGACTGAAAATAATTGATGTAAACACACACTATCTATTATCTATGATATTTTATTGAACATCAACGCTTAACAACTGAAATTAAAACACACATTGCCTAAAATACTGGAATCAGCTTCCAGAAATGATCAGACATGCTCCAACATTAGGCGAGACTGAAAACACATCAGTTTAGCTGTGCCTTTACTGAATGAGCACTGTGCTACTTCCAACAGATCGCAATATTGTGTCTTTCTTTTCTTTTTCATTCTTTTAGAAACTTTTAACACATTTTCATCTGTTTTTAATAATTTTTTATTATTGTTTTACTTACTTATACTTGTCTTTTTTTATTCCTGTTTACGTAAAGCACTTTGAATTACCACTGTGTATGAAATGTGCTATATAAATAAACTTGTCTTGCTTTGCAAATCACAAAACTTGCGCAACGCGTTGTTGTGATGTGTAGTTTGTTTTTTCGAGAGGTGCGCGGGTATGCAGCGCCGGACTGTACATGTGTGCTTGGCGGAAGTATAATATTAGAATAATATAATAAGTACATAAAAACATAATATATTAAGTATAAAACAGCTTTAACAGAGCGAGGTCATGAGACTCCACACACGGTAGTGAAAATTTGATAAATTATAGGTTCTGAATGTCGATTTCTTTATGATTAATTACCCATCGCTAACATTGTTTTCTATCATATTTGCTTATTGTGATATTATTACATCGACACAAATGTGTCCCCGACCTTCAATCGGTCCAGCAGTCAAATCACTATGTAGTTTTAAAAACGAAATGCTTCATTTTTTATGTTTAGTTGTAAATTCATTTTAAGAAATAAAATGGTTTCAAAAGTTTTACAAGGTGCTTTACATGTTATTATTATTTTGCATTAAAATACAAAGTAGAAAAGGAGATTGATTACAAAAGGTGTATTTTAGAACTATTGGGCCTCTTGGCTGGAATTTCTTAGGGCCCCAAAATCACTAAATCCACCCCTGAACATTGTAAATCATTTTAATTGTTCAAAATAATCCAGTTTTGCATTTTCGTTCATTTGGCTGATTTTGATCAGTATAAAAATGATCCATTTATAAGTTAGCAAGCATTTAATTTTGCATATTGTAAACAGCAAATAATTTTTAATGGTCAGAAAAATGTCCAAACAGTTTATGGGACCAATGTTAATTATTCCATCAAGTTATTCTGTGTTTTCATTTTTAAGTGTCTTAAATGCATTTGTGTTCAGTTCAAACGCTACAAAAAAGGGTCCAAATGGTCCAAAAATGTCCAAATACTCTTTGATGTCACTGCACATAAACTAACCTATAAGAGTCCAGGAGAGGCTGATGAACAGGAGACTCACTCCTCACTCTCCTCAGTGTGTCTGCGGTTTGTGCGTTTGGGCAGCTCGGCGCGAGGATTTCCTCCAGCCGTCAGCTGCTCCCAGTAGGACTGGCAGTATTGCTGAATCAGACGCATTTCTGGCTCCAGCAGGAGTGCAGGTGTTGGAGGAGCAGGCTGGTGCTGGTGGCCTTTGTGACTGCTTCTCAATGCCTCCTCCTCGTCTTCGTCAGGGGTGGTGAGGGCCACAGCGATGTCCCGGTCCAGGATGCGCAAGGAGACACGAGCCAGCGTGTGCTTGAAGTTATTCTCTGTGGCCAGGCAGTGGTACTGACCCGCGTCTGCTTTAGTGAGAGCTTTCAGAAGAACCCCTTGAGGAGTCCTGAGCACCTCCCCGTCCCGATTCAGCTGCCAACACAACCAGCAGATGTGCATGTGATATCAATGTACACTTCTGTTCAAAAGTTTTCTATTTGCATATCAACCATTCACAACACCCTAGCAACCACCCTGAACACCTAAGCAATGACTATATCTGTCAATCCTCCTGTTTTTCCCGCTATTCTCCTGTATTTTACAATTCTATCTCAATTTCATCCCGTAAATGTATTTTCCCATATTTCTCCTGTATTTAAATTCTTACTATGAAGGCTAGCAACTAACATTTAAAAGCTGATCCTCCCTATATGCAACTCATACTGCTAAACCACCACAGGATGCCCCTTGCTCTTAAACCTTTTGGTGCCCTCTTGTCCCTACCACTGGCTTCCTTGTGTTATTGTCCCTACTGTGTGGACCTTGTCATCAACCTTGTGCTTAATTCCGTCAATAAACACCTTTGTATATTCATTGCTGCAACTGGGCCCGTTTTCTAGCAACCAACCAAAAAACACACAGTAACCACTGAAGTACTATAGCAAACACCCAGAACTAGCAACCGCATAGCAAAAACTCACAGAACTTTTTGTTCAGCAACAAACCAAAATGCCTTTGCAACCACCCTGGAGTCAGTTCTTCGTACGTGGATAACTCATTTAGCTGGATTGGGTTATTGATGATTTGTTTATATAAAATAAGCCTGCTCCCGAGCACGTTTGAACTACCAGAACTGTTGCTATGACAACAACTCTCGGATGAGTTTTCAAGAACAACATGATCCTGAATCATGTCAATAACCAAATACTACTAATTGAGTAGTCCATGTACGAAGAATGGACCCCAAAACTCATTCGAGAGTAGTCATAGTAACTGTTTTGGTAGCAGGCTTACTTCACATAAACAGGATTAGATCGGGTCTTTTCAAGCAAAGGTAATACTGAAAGTATGAACCAAATGCTGATATTTTCTTACAGCAGTAGTTATATACGCTTGGAAAAAAGTAGATAGTTAAAATTCTCTCTCTCTCTCTCTCTCTCTCTCTCTCTCTCTCTCTCTCTATATATATATATATATATATATATATATATATATATATATATATATATATATATATATATATACTATCTATATACACACACATACACAATTGAAGTCAGAATTATTAGCCCTCCTGATCTATAAGCCCCTCTGCTAAAAATTTGGACCTTAAAATTAAAAACTGCTTTTATTCTTGCCAAGTTAAAAGACTTTCTTCAGAGGAAAAAAAATATTATCAGACATACTGTGAAAATGTCTTTGCCCTTTTAAACATCATTTGGGAAATATTTTAAAAAAGAGAAAGTGTATGTATATATATATATATATATATATATATAAATATATATATATATATAAATATATATAAATATATATATATATATATATATATATATATATATATATATATATATATAGTTGAAGTCATAATTATTAGAATTATTATTATTTTTTTAAGAGTTTAAAGTTTAATATACAGTTTAAGTTTAAAACGTATATAAATAAAACTTCTGCAATCTGCACTCAAAAATAAAAGTTCAAAGACTGTCACAGGGTGGGTTCTCCTTAATGGGTTTAAAGAGAACATTTATTAATATGGCCGTTTTATACACAAACATGTACTATTTTAGGTACCAGCTTTATTACAGTTTGTGTGTGATAATAGACATGCTCATTGTTCGACTGTTTTTTTTAAGGAATAATAAATTATGCAGTTTTAACAGCTAATATGACAGTGATTTGCTGCTTCGCAAAAGTTGCAAACACCATTACGGATTTTAAAATGGTTTCAGTTCTAGTCAGTTATTCTTTACTTAAAACTTGAATAAGCCTAGGCTACTATAATAAAGAAAATTCGCTCTAAATGTAACCCTAAATAAATTGCTAAATACTCTTGACACATGAAAGTGTAAAGCCTGTTGCCCGCAACAGAGGTGGAAAGTTATTGCGTGTCACATTTAACAAACCATTTGCTACAAATTTTATATAATTTTTCTCACAAGGATAAGTTAATATTAATCAGATGATGTCATTACGCTGCTGTAATGTCAGCCAATTATTGCATTGCTGATCATAATTTTGTGAATTAATAGATCTGTCCTTCACAACACACGCAATGATTTCAGATCAGTTCATCCAGACCTTTTAATCTGATTCGCGATATTGGTTGAAGAACCAAACTAGCCAGAGATTAGTTATCAAGACTAAAAGATCCAGGATCTTTCAAATCATCTTAGATCATTTAAGCTAGGAATGGACCCCTGAACAAACTTTCAACCATATACAGCAGCAACACCCTACGAATGACATAACATTTTACAACCACCTCATCTAGTGTGAAATCAGAAATCTATAGTGAAATTATAAATGTTCTAAAATGATAAACTCTCACCTTTGATCAATCTAACATGTCATTACCAAGAACAAAAGATAAACAAAAATCTAAATCTACTTCAATCCAAACTTTTGATCAGCATTGTGTATTTTAAAGGGATAGTTCAATCAAAATTTCTAATTCCCTGACCACTGTAGTAGTTCTACAGATTTATGAATGTCTTAAACAAGATATTCTATTGTTTATATTTTAGAAGGCAATGGCTGCTTTTCCCTGCATTCATTAATATATCAATTGCGTTCACCAGAAGAAAGGAAATCAAACAGGTGTAACTCAAGTGAAGGATTTGTAAATTATGGCAGTATGTTCATTTTTGGTGTGCGAATCCCTTCAATTGACAAAATGAAAATGTTCTTATATATTGTTGAATTTGTCTGGTTGGTGATTTGACATCAGCATGTACTGTAAATCATACCACTTTCCGTCGTCCCTCTTTCTGGTAGAGCCATTTGATGGTGGCCTGAGGAGATCTGGGCACACACTCCAGAAACGTGCTGCTGCCCTCCACACCAAACTGAACCTTCTCCTTCAGTCTCCTCTCCACTATCACACACAGCATAGGTTACAGTCATGCACACCTACACATCACACTATACACTGATAAACTCTGTGTCTTTTCTACCTTTAGCATTGTAGCCTCGGCACTGACGCAAAGGGTCGCCGTGTTTCACATCCTGCCTTCTACTCCGCCTGAAAGAAGCAGTGCAGCAACATCCATACTGTTAAACTCCATGTCATTTAACCCTGTGGTTTCCAAAGTGGGGGTCACGAGACAATCGGGGGTGGGGGGGGGTCGCTAAGTGAATTCAAAAATATAATATATGTTATTAAACTATTACAATTACCAAATTTATCCATAACCTAATGAAGATAAAAATACTTTTTAATACAGGGATACAAACTTTTTCTTATGAAGGGCCAAAACCCAAACTGGATTGATGCTAGTGGGCCAAAGGTAAATATAGTTGCCATGTGTTACTTCCTCATCTATTTAATAATATTTTATTAAACATTATGAAAAATTGCTTTAAATTAACTGATAAAGTATATTTTACATTATATTTTATAATGAAATTTATAACTTATACAAAACAAAAAGGAGTTGCATTGATTTTTGTCTTAATTTGCTTTATAGTCCTCCATACATCGAGTGCCAGTATATACATTTTAAAAACTCAGATTAATTAAACAACATTTAATTTCAGTTTATTTTTTGTAGCTCAGCAATAAAACAAACAGGTCAAGTTAAATTATAAATGACGATTGTAAAAGGCATTCTCCCTAACTCTCTCCATCATTCTCACTCTCTTCTCAAATGGCCAAATCGAAGGTTACAATGGGCCAACTTTGGCCCGTGGCCCCACTTTGGGCATCTCTGATTTAATAGCTATATAAAATAACAACATGCAAATAAAAAGCCATCAGTCTTTCAATTCTTTTCCTATTGGATTGCAACCCCTGGGGTTATTACGCTAGATTAATGACAAAGCAATAGTGTTAGTTGCAGCAGATTGATTTTATGGCACAATGTTAGGTCTTTAAAACCTACGTCACGTACGTTAAAAGAAGACAATCTCCAAGTGGCGGTTTCCAAAATTAAACCAAAAAATAGTCTTGTGCTGTAAACACTGTGCTCACAATTCTCATTAAGTGAGATTAATATTAAATTAAACAAATTAATGACTGTAATTTTTGTGTGTGTTGTGAATAAGCTTGTTTATGCAGTTCCTTTTGGTGTGTGTGCACTGTTGTGTGCAATGCTTGTACAGTATGTTTACAGTATAACCACCTCGAGGATAAGTGGGGGTTGCAAGTTTTTTTGGGGGGGTCGCAAGCTGAAAAGTTTGGAAACCCGGGAAACCCCAACTTATGAGAAATGAAACTCAAATAAAATTTAAAAATGTAATAATTAGTGATGGGTCGTTCTTGAATAATTTGTACATTTTGAACGAATCTTTTGTATAACTCGAGGTCGATGAGTCCTCCCATGGAGTTATTTTTTCATTTGTGCACCCGCACATTTGTGCAGGTGGAAGAGAAGATTGGTTTCTTTTTTTGAGTCTTCTATCGGGTTTGAGTCATTTGTTCGTCACGTGAAAGACAGAATCTAATCATATGCAGTCAGAGCCGAAAAAAAATTTACTTCGTTCATCTCTGGAGTCGTCGGTTTGAGTCATCTCTCTTTACATGCTGTCATGTGATGATCAAACGACTCAAAAAACGGAAGACTGGAAAGGTAAACTAATCAATTAGTTGAAATTTTGAGGAACCAAAATAGACCAGCTGAAAGCAGGTCTAAAGTCCAGCTTTAGTTCTACACCTCGCTTACACATGGCTTAAAAGATGCAGGATGCACAGCAATACATAAATATCCTTACAAATGAAAAAAATAAATAAATAAATTACATAAATTTACATAAATATAAAAACCACTACTTCCATGCCTTTTTCATCTCTGGTTTTTTATTCATGACAACTTGCAATTATTATTATTAGTATTATTTATTATATGATTATTTATATTTGTCAAAAAACAAAATGAATTATTTAGGCTAATAAATGCCTGTGTGTGCAACACCGTTTCCTTATCTACGAAAAAGAGAAAGAGAAAGTGAAGGTAAGGGCCGATTGGAGGTGGCTCATTCTTTATTCTCGTGCTGCAGATGGTCTGTTTAACTGTTTTCTCGCTAGTGAAGCGTTTAGTTTTTCCACTTACTAAGTCCGACATGTAAATAGCCAATGCGCCATGGCGCGACGAAACTTAAAGGGAATGGGAGCTCAGACTCTGATTGGTTTATTCTCAAAACACACCCATAACTTATTAAGAGAATAAGCTCAACACTGTTGGACCATGCACCACAGCGCAGAAAATATTTTTCCATCCTTAAAATAGCAAAAGTGGATTTGGACACGCCTTTAATGCTTTTTTGCCTGTGCTTTTGACTTTGTTAAAATAGAGCCCTATATGGGACTGTCAAAGTCAAGTAAATGAACCACTCAAATTTGAAGACATGTCAGAAGAGGTGAGCTGACATAATTACAGACAAAAGACCAGGTAAACAATAAATAGTTATATTCTCTTTCTTATAGCATTCTAGTTATGACTTGTTTGTACTGTGATCAACGTTTGGGCTAGTTGTAGATGAGTTTGGAAGCACTTTTGATAATATTTTGGCAAACTTAACAAAATGACTGGAAAAAAGATTCAAATGTTAGAGTCAGTAAAATGATCTGAACTTTCCATCACTAGTAATAATCTGCTCATTTCCTATCAGCTATGAGGCAAAGGTTAAGTAAGAGCAATTTCAAAGAATTCAGGTGGTCTGACCTTTTGGTGGCTTGTGTGAAGGCTGAGCAGTTGTCTCCGTCCCAGGCGCAGTATGGGTCTCTGGCCAGACAACAGTCTGAACATGCCTTTCCATACACACCGCAGCGGTGCAAAGACATCTGGGTAAGACCCACCTCTGAAGATGCATACAGCTGTTGCTAATAGTGGGAAAAGAAAAAAAAGTTACATGTTAATGTCATTTGCAGTAATACATTTTTAAAAATGACATTGTTTTTTATCTTTCTTACCCTTTTGGCTGATATGTGCATTGTTTTGACAGGAGCAGGAGTCTATAAATAAAGAACAGACTAGCATACTTCAATATACATTAGACACCAGATGAAAACTACAAAAGTGACTTTAGGGATAGATACCAAAAAATGAACGCTTCCTGTTCAGTTACTCACCCATAGGTCATTCAGGATGTAGGTGACTTTTTCCGTCAGTAGAAAATTAAAGAGTTTTTTTTTTTTTTGACACACTGAGGTCTCAAAAAGCAAAATGATCAGCCTATGTAAGAAGTAATTACTAATAGTATTATAAAAAACGTTCAATTTATTCCACAAACCAATCATTTGGTTCACAAGACCTCAGTGTATCATTCATTTGAATGTTCTACTGAAGAAAAAAGTCACCTAAATCTTGAATGACCAGTGGGTAAGTAAATTAAAAGAAAATTTTCCTTTTTTGTGTGAGCTATCCCTTTTAATACTGAGGGTAACATAATGAGGTATACAAAAGGTTTCAGTAATATAATTTACCCTGAAAACTTCTACTTCCTCCAAAGTGAGCTCTTCCATTGTTGTGGGATCCTTAGGTAGAACTATAACTTTCTGGACTGTCCCACGATCTGTAGGGTGGCAGAAAAGACAAACAGTTGAAATCTACACTGCATTTGTCCAGACACCAGATGTTCAAGTGCACTTGAATGTCACTAACTGCAAGAACAATTCACTTGAACAATGACACAGAAAAGAAAATGACTTTGTAGAATGAAAGTCATACATAAGTGATAAAAATCTGTCGTATTCACTTGAAGATCTTGTTTTGACATTATGCTGGGTTCATACTTTTCAAACTGTTTTTTTATAGTCACCGAGTCACATTATGTGATTGCACTGTTGCCAAAAAAAAGTCTTACTACACACTGCTTCCCTGCCAACTTGTTATCTTTGGTTTAAACGTGCACGATGTAATAAAGAAAGTGGAACTAGTGCCTGACTTGCGGAAATAAGCATGTAAACAAATAATGACTTCAGAAGCGGACATTTTTATACTGGCTGTCTTGTCGTCAGAAAAGCCCAAAAATAAAAGGCATTACATAATTCCACTATTACATCATCCCTCTTTCATTTTGTCATGTCTGAAAGATGTGCATAGAAGAGTTTCTGTGCTTCTACTGGTCAACATTACGTATGCTAGAACAAAAAAAAAAAACCAATTAAACACGCTACTCTTTCTGTCAGCACACATTCTGAAGAATCCAATTATGACACACTACATAAGATAAAATGACTGATTGTTGCATCTTGACATTTATTGTTTGAACAGATAGTTTATAAACTAAAGGCAGCATTGCCAGATGGTGGATGCCAGTTTCACCTGTTCCCAGGAAAAGAACCTCGTATCGTCCATCCACAGCATCCACCTGGTCCACCGCAATAGTAGTGAAGCGGTAATCCACACCGGATCGGACCACAAGAGGGCGCTTGTGAATGGGATATACAGGGTGGTACATGAGCGGATGAGCACGGATGAAGTTCACCGCTTCATCTGAGAACTCTTTAGTGGACTGAAGACCAGGAGTGAATGTGCCTCCTGGACACTAATGTGAAAAACAGAGTCGTCGTCAGTCAGATAAATGAACATGCTGCCTGGGTTCTAGAAATTACTGTAATATATATCAGTGTCGTTAACATAATAGTTTTAAATTAATGAATTTCTAGGATGGCTTGGTGGCTCAGTGGTTAGCATTGTGGCCTTATAGCAGGAAGGTCGCTGGTTCGAGCCCTGGCTGAACCAATTTGCGTTTCTGTGTGGAGTTTGCATGTTCTCCCTGTGTTCATGTGAGTTTTCCTCCGGGTACATTGGTTTCCTCTACAGTGAATTGAATAAACTAACTTGGCCATAGTGTATAAGTGTGTATGGGTGTTTCCCAATACTGGGTTACAGCTGGAAGGTCATCGCTGCGTAAAACATGTGCTGGAATAGTTGGTGGTTCATTCCGCAGTGGTGACCTCTGAAATAGAGACTAAGCTGAAGGGAAATAAATGAATTTCTAAGAACTAAATTCATTTGTGTTGATGGAATATAATATTTTACTAGTTATATTGCTAGATACTAGTACTCAGCTTAAAATGCATAGTGAAGTTAATTATGTTAACTAGGCAAGTTCGATTAGTTAAGCAAGTCTTTGAACAACAGTTGTTTGGTCTGTAGCTATTTTTTAAAAATGATATTTTCTTAAGAAGGCTAATAATATCGATCAAGCACTTGTTAAATATAATAATATTGACAAGCTGCTTGATGAAGCAGTCATTAAATTTTCCCACTTAATTTTGTGTTTCATTCCAGCCAAATTGAAAGAAATAAGACTTTCTCCAGAGGGAAAATATAATAGGAAATGGGGCGAAAAAATTCCTGCTCTATAAAACATCAATTGTAAAATATAAAAAAAAAATATCATAAAAATTTTACAGGTGGGCTAATAATTTTGTCTTCAACTGCATATGTACGTTATATTAAATTATATATAAAATAATATATAAAATGTATGTAAAATTCTAGTTAATATATTTGAACAGGTATGTATGTACATATACTGTATACAGTTAAAAATTATAAGTAATTATTTTGTATATTAATATATAAAAATTAATACTGAAATGTATGTATATTTGCACAAAGCATTGTACAAATTTGTACTGTTTGTTTTATATCTGTGAAATCCAATCATGAGCATGTATGTTAAATATGTGATCCGTATATAACTCATTTATCAGTGGTCTATTTGGGAAGCACAAAAGCACATTCGGTAATAACAACAATCTCACCGTTCCGGGACGAGGATAGGGAATCTTTCCAGTATATGTAGTCCACTGGTAGTTGTGTCCGTGTTTATGGGCAAAAGGGCCATTGAAGACATTCCGGATGTCAGCCATTGAGTAGACACACACTGCTGAGCCTTTAAACACAGAGCTGAGACAAAAACAAGAAAACATTACTGACCTAGAAACAATAAGCAGCAGCGATGCCATTTATTCACGCAGAAACTTTTCACCTTGTAGCTGTTGGTTTTATACGCATATGTACTGAACATGAATATGAATGTGCAGAATGTAATCTGAAATACCATTTTAACTAATCAATATTATTGTTTCAGTCTTTGATCTAACAGTTCACTGGATACTATATGAAAATCTTCCAGTCCAATATTCACCAGTACCTTCTGTGTCTTACATTTGACAAGAAGTAAAGTTTAGCTCAGTTGTTCAGAAAATTGAAACAACAAATGATGGTTTGACACCCTTTGATTGCATATGAGTGCAAGATAACATGATAAAGAGCATTTCTTTTAATTTTTACACCATAGTAGCCTATTAGGCATTATATGTTACTCAAACTGTTAGTAATATGTTAATTATTTACTGTGAGAGTATATTCAAATAAATGCCATAATGTTTATTACATCATGACAACAAATTTGAGTGGAAACATGACTGTTATTAATGTAAACGTTGTCATATTTGTAATGTACATGTTTGAATACAATATTATTGTTTGCTGTGTTGTTAATCATATCTGTAAATGTGCAAGTAGCAGGGCTCTCTAGTTAACAGTTTGTTTAGATACAAAATGTTTCAGTAAACCACTAAAATAAGTAGCAATTTTAGGTTTAGTTGTTACCCACTGCAACACTAAAGACATACCAACCCATCACTTTAAATCTGAGGTATGTATTAAGCCTTTATTTTTGAGTACTATTACATCTAAATCCCAAACTGGAATAGAAATAGAAAAATACAAAAAGCCATAAATGACTACAATTTCACATAAAGAAAATGTATAAAGGAAAGTGTACCCAGAAGTGGAGAAGACACCATATACAATAGGGTTTCGTTCATCCTGGCTGGGCTGGATAAACACGTCCCCTAGAAAAAAGGAGAAAGGCATGTCAGAACTGTCTCTGAACTTCAATACTAAAAATACCCTTTTTAAATTTCCCTTTTACAATTTTCTCTGATGATGCATTTACTAATACAATCATAAATCTAAACCATTTAACAATTTAATAAATTCATGAAGGAAACTATACGTTTCTGTTGTAAATTTGTTCATTGGTCTCAGGTATACTGTATATGTCAGAATAGGGAATAATTTTTAAAAAGACACCCAAGTTCACCCAAAACATGAAAATTCTGTCATCTGCTCATCCTTGACTTTTTTCTAAACCGGTCTGGCTTGAACGCAAAGAAAGATATTTTAAAGAAAGCTGGAAACCTGTAACCAGTAACCATGACTTCCATACTATTTTCTTTCCCTATATGGAAGTCAATGATTATACTTTTGAGCTTTCTTCAAAATGTCTCTATTAGTGTTCAGCAGAAAAAGAAACTCTAAAGGAATCTCTTGGGGGTAAGTAAACAATGAGTAAATTATCATTTTTGGGTGAACTATGCCTTCAATGCTCTCTAAACAACGAACAGTTTATAGTGTTGAATAGCAGTTGTGCCATCTAGTGGTGTTAATTTGTCACACTAAAGATTTCAGGGTTATTTCAGGCAAAATTTGGGCAAAATATGATTATTAACTGTTGTGATAAAGTTTGGTAAAAAAGTTTCATTAAAAAAATGTAATCCAGAGGTTAGCATTTTCCATATTTTACCCAAATTTGGCCAGAAATAACCCTCTAATATTTTAGAGTATGACATGATAACACCACTAGATGGCACAGTAATTTAGCGACTGTTATACAACACTACATAAATTGAGAAGGAAAACAACACTCACTCAGTTCATCAAAGAAGGTTTCCACCCCGTCATCTCCCATCACTGAGCACACCAGCCTGGCCTTTAGAAAAGTTGTCCACTTGTTCACAAGAGACTTTTGTCCGCCCTCATCATTCTGCCATAAAACACAAACAGCGGTTTATTGACTGACTGAGCTGTGAACTGTTTCCTGTGCACCTGCGGTTTCTGGTTACATGAAGCCGGATGTTGCTCACCAGACACACTCGGCCCACTCTGGCCAACACACTGGGGCTCGCTCCGCCACCAGAATCCAGACTCTTCTCACGAAAGAAAAAATAAAGCTTGTCGTCGTTCTTCTCCGAGCTGTCAGAGATCTGTTTCATTTGAACAAATACAGGTTCTAGGAAATAAACAAGAGCCTTCGTTTAAATATTTGATGAAAATTAAAACAGCTGAGCAAATATTTGTTGTCAGTCTCATTAAAATTACATCTGGCAATCCAAATATGAACAACTGAGTTGTTTACCGTTCAGCCATTTGGAATCATACTGCTCTGATCTCACAGCAGGACGGCTTCCCATGGTCCTGAAGATGCCTGGATCAGTGCTCATGAAATCCACCGCCACCCCAGCATACAGGTTTCCATCTGCAGGAAGAGATTAATGAATTAAAACCGGTCAAAGCTACATGTTCTGCAACAGACACATTAGATTAGGATACTGGCCCTTTAAAAAGTTTACGTAGTTGCTGGTGATTCTTTATGCTTATTTCAACATCAGACAGAAACTTTTTAGTGTAAGGTTGAAATTAAATATTATAAATATTTTTTAACTGTTTCGTTTAATTACATATGCACTGGCTAGATTCAATTTTAACAGATCAATTTTGTAGCAACACAATAACAATAAAAAAGGTCCAAAGCTTATCAGCTTATAAAAGTTATGATATAAATAATGTAAAAAGACAATTTACATGTCTTGACTAATAATAGTATTTTGTTATGATTGTTTTGTGGTGTTATTATTAAGTTATTAAGTCAGTTAAATGTTGTTATTTTATGTTATGCTATGTTGTTTTGTTAATTTATGATTAAGTTTTTAAATGTTTAGGTGTTTAAATGTTATGTTATGTCATGTCATGTTATGTACCCTTTCAACCGTTCACTCTTATCAATTATGATCAGCCTGAGAGAAAGATGTTTTAAAGAAATGTCCAAATTAAATTCTGTAATAAATTCTGCAATAAAATGTAAACTTTTTGAAGAATGGAAAGTTTGTTTTTTTAATCATAACATAATAAATGTTTTTAATAACACTTTTGTTTTGTCCAGTCATCTTTGCTGATTAAAAGTATTGATTTCTTTACATACTGATACTGACAACAAACAATAGTGTTTTACTCCTCACTGTAATGCTGGGTTCCACATAATCAATTTGTGTAGGGACAACATGAAGGAATTACATTAACTTATTAATTTTTACAAATTTAAGTGGATTGACATAGAACTATTGAGTTGTCCCTCTAAAAAACTCAAGAATTGTGTTGTTTCAGCTCATTTTAAATTACTAGTTTGAACAAACAGTAAACCTCACTTTTTGAGTGCACCTTACAAATGCTGGGTTCCACACAACTGCTTAATGTTGTCCCAACACAAATCGATTAAGTTTAATTGTAATATATGTTAAAACTGTGCTAACTTATGATTCTGTTGTATTTTGTACTATGTAGTGCTCTATTTTGATGACCCATGCGCAAAGTCCAAAGCACAGGGCGCAAAAGCATTAAGAGGTGTCAGAATCCACTTTTGCTATTTTAAGGATGGAAAAATCCGCTTTGCGCCATGGCGCATGGTCTAACAGGGTTGAGCTTATTCTCTTTATGAGTTATAAGTGTTTTGAGAATAAACCAATCAGAGTCTCATCTCCCATTCCCTTCAAGAGTCAGTTGCCTCGCGCCATGGTGCATTTGCTATTTACTTGGTGGACTTCGTAAGAGGAAAAACTGAATGCTTCACTAGTAAGAAAACAGTTAACCAGAACCTCTACAGCGCGAGAATGAGAGAAAGTCTCCTCATTCTTTACTTTCACTTTTACTCTCATCGATAGGGAAATGTGCTGTACACACAGACATCCACTAGAGTATACATAATAAATTTAGTTTGCTAAGTGCAAAGATTTGTTTCAAAACAATTTCTAAATTCAGTTCTAAATTCCAGCAAACTAATGAATGAACAATAATAACGAAGTGTGTTCAAAGTGTGATTTTTATTCAAATACAAATGCTATGCACGATATGGTCTAAAACCTGACAGGTGGACAAATCTAAGCTTGTTTTTTAAAAAACAAATATAAATATGGATATAATAAACAATACTGCAAACAATAAAAACATTATACAAAAGCAAATTGTTATGAATAATCTGAAAAAGCCCCCTGAGATGAAGAAGGCATGAAAGTGGTTTTTATATTTATGTAGGCTAGAAAATAATATGTTTTGTAATATTTTAACCCTTGAATGCTTTTTCATACGGTAGATATTTGAGTATTGCTGTACATCCTGTGTGTATTAAGCAGTGTATAAGCAAAGTGCAGAACTAATGCGCTCTGCGCTGGACCATAAACCTGGTTTGATCTGGTCTATTGAACAGTCTATTTTAGTTCCTCAAAATAGCAACACACCAGCAATGCGCCTCAACACACCTTCTTTTTTAGACCAGAAGGCCTATGGGCACACATATGAGCACAAATGCATTTTGTTATTTAGCAGCATGCTGCAAAACGTCAAAGCGCCAAGCTGAAACTAGCAAACAACAACTGTGTGGCGCCTTGCGCTGCATTGGGCTGGGTGTATGATAGGGCCCTTAACATGAAATTGATGTTAGGCAACAGCTACTATGGTAAGATTGACTACTTCTGTGATGAGCAAAAAATGAACTACATAAAATATAAAAGTAACATAAGCTTCCTCATTAATTGTTTCTTACTAATCAGGGATGCAACGTTCTCCTGATTTGGATCGTAAGAGCATTTTCCCTTTCCAGAGTCCACATAACCAGGAACCAGCCTGAAGAGATAATCCTGTGGACATTAGAGCAAAGACAGCATCCAGATGTGTTAATGCAAGCTGTATGTATATAAGAATACATAGTAAATTCATTTATGTATGTGTGTCTGTTATTCATAATGCTGAGGGGACAAAATATCCCCACAAATATAGTTATACTAGTAATTCTAGACCTTCTGGGGATATTTTTTGGTCCCCATGAGGAAAACGGCTCATAAATCACAGTCAGAATATACAATCAGTACAGTTGAAAAATCAATATGTCAGTGGCAACTGGAAAGTGCCCATAATAAATGAAAACCCAACAGATTAGTGTGTATACATGTGAGTGTGTTTGTGTACCTCAGCTCTCCAGCCTCTGTTGATGAAGGTACAGATGGGTTTATAAGCTCCAGTGCCGCAGGTGTACAGATGGGTCCTGTTCCACGGCTCAATCAAGCGCACAAAGTTAGCACACTCTCCCTGAAAAACACACACATGCACACAAACAAACAAACCACTGTTGAACTGAGACTGTTCAGATCAAGAGTCTGGCATTCTTTACTGATTCAGTAAGTACCAATTACAGTAAGCAACTGTTGTAAACTCACATGCCTGCCTTTCCCAGTCAGCTGACACTCTCCCTTTCTCTGAGCCGGAGCCGGCCAATGGATCTACAGACAGAAAACACCCACAGCATTATGAGAGCAATTCACTACATGACACTTCTGTTGTTCTAGTGTCAGTGCTAGGATGCAATCGCGTGTTTTAGTCAGGTGAATTGAATACACACTGCAAAGAGTGAGTAAACGCATTGCTTTAAAAGTGATTAGCTGACTTTACTTAGGAAAAGTGAGTAAACCCATTGCCTTAAAATGATTAAGCGCATTGATTATGTGCATAATTATACAAATTGAGATATACAACTTAACCATTTCAAATGGATTTACTCACTATTTAAAGTCAACTTTAGTAAGTAACTAATCACTTTTTACAGTGTAGTAAATTGGCTGTAGTGCATGAGCATGTGTAAATGGGAGAGTGTAAGGGTGTTTCCCAGCACTGGGGTTCATATGTTAGTGCTCCTTCAGGACTGGGTTGCGGCAGAAAGGGCATCCACCAGTAAAACAAGCGGGTGAGTGAGTGAGTGAGTAAGATCTTACAATGAGAGGCTCTTTGTTGATGTTCTGCATGTCCAGTGAGACGAGATATTCGCGGCTGCCCAGGTACAACCGGCCTTGGTCTGGATCAACATGCAGAATCCGATAGTCACTGGTGTTGAAGGAAAAACTGAACGGCCTCGCTGTCCGAGTGTCCATGAGCTCTGATGAAAGACAAAATAGAAAATCATCATGACATATCATGGCACAATCCCACACACATAAATTCAGACCTTTTTTTCTGAAGATACAACATTGTTATTGTTTTGGGAAACAGCAATTTTTGAATTTTTTATTTTGTATTTGAAATGAATGTAATCAGTAGTTGACAAAATTTAAAAAGAAAGAAGAAAGTTTTCATAACTTTTCCCAACCTTAATTAAAGTCATATTTACCTACAAGTGTAAGTAAAATCCATCTCCAACAAACTAACAAACAAAAAGGGATTTAGTTAATCTCAAACCCTGGACGTGAGACAGAAAATAAGGTAAAAGTAATTTTGTCCTATAGGTGGTGCTCTAAACTCTCTCTTCATGAGTCTGCTTTTTGTCTGAGCCCATGCACTGTCTCTGTTATGGGTTAAACAGGTCTGTGAGCATTTCCTATTCCAGATGAAATGGTTAAAATTAAAGTCTTGTAGTAGTGGTTTTCTGGGTTACCTCTTCTCAGCAAGCTCTTCTTCAAGGTGGAAGGAACAGCCGAAAGCATACATTTGTGGCTCTTGAGATCAAACTGCACTTAATGCATGTTTCAGGCACATTTCCTGAGTGCCGTCAAACTTCAACATTTTGGCCAATTCAGTTTCAAAGGCAAAGATTAAAATGAAGTAATTGAGCAGAGTTAAAAATGGACCATTTACTCAGACATTTATGCAGGCTGTCACAGGACTTCAAAAGAGCACCAGGTCCTGACGCAAGAATTGCAGTTAATATTTCGTAAATGCTTAACTGTGTAGACTTATGTCGACTATGAATTATGATCAGAGGCCAGAGAGAAAGCAGAATTATGATCAGAGGCCCTTTAGTTTTAAAGCAATTTTTCATGACTAAATTAAACTCTGTTATAAATTCTGCAATTAGGAATCTTTGAAGAATAGAAAGTTTGAATAGAATGTCTTTGTCAAATTTCAGTCATCTTTGCTGAATAAAAGTACTAAAGGGCAACTATGATGAAAATCAACTATTGCTGTTTGGACAGAACTCTGTGTAAGTCACAGTCCATAGTCATATTGGAGTGATATAAACACAACACAATAAAACACAATAAAAATTTTCTGATGTTAAAATAGGATCCAATTCTCAGTGATTTTGAGGTCCATCGCAACGTGATGTAGGAGTGCAGCTTTTCCAGCCCACTGAATTGATTGACAGGCTCCATGTTTCTATAATAACATGTATAGACATGTCCAGAGAACATTTATGGCAAAGAAACTGGGAATATAAGATCTGTTCCAATTCTCTGTGATCTTTTTAAATATTATAAGTTTAAAACGTTTTTTAAAACAGAGCGTGTTTGTAACAAAGACAGTAAAATCGCTATGTAATTCTTAACTGCTATAATCAATTCAGCTGCATGTTGTCAGTAAATATGCATATTTATATATTTTGTGCATGTGTGGTTGTGTGTATGTGCACGCATGTGTGTTTGTGTGTGTGTGTGTGTGTGTGTGTGTGTGTGTATATATATATACAGTTGAAGTCAGAATTATTAGCCCCCTTTAAATATTTTTCCCTTTTTTTATATTTCCCAAATGATATTTAACAGAGCAAGAAAACTTTCACAGTATGTCAGATTCTATTTTTTCTGGAAAAAGTCTTATTTGTATAAAACGGCTAGAATAAAAGCAGTTTTTAATTTTTCAAACACAATTTTAGGGACAAAATTATTAGCCCCTTTAAGTTATATATTTTCTGTGTGTGTGTGTGTGTGTGTGTGTGTGTGTGTGTGTGTGTGTGTTTCTGTGTGTGTGTGTGTGTTTCTGTGTGTGTTTCACAGTGTGTGTTCTGTGTGTGTTTCACAGTGTGTGTGTGTGTGTGTGTATTTGTGTACTGCAAACAACATTTCTGTGTGACTAATCCCCATTCAAGAAAGGCTTGAATAAACTCCACCACAAATACTAAACTTACTTGGTGTTTTTGACTAATGAGCTGTATTCCAGTTTTATCTGTGTCTGTCTCTATCACTGACTGCTGTTTATCTGATGTAATGCAAGAGAAGCAGACATGCGTATAGGAGCGGTGGGCCGGGAGAAGCAGCTTATTTGCATTTAAATCTACAGGCTACAAAAACAGCTACACTGTACTAAGCCACCAAAATGAGCAGATTATGGAGGTTATAAAAAATAATCTGATGGGTATTTTGAGCTGAAACTTTCTGGAGACACCAAAGGCTTATCTTACATCTTGTAAAAGGGGTAAACTAGGTTCCTTTTAATTTCTTTACTGATGCTGACCACAATCTTTTGAACAATAGTGCTTTTCTTCTCACTGTGAAGAAATTGCTCGATTTCACACAATCAATTTGTGTTGGGACAACATGAAGGAATGTTTCACGTTGTCCCAACACAAATCAATTAAATTAACCTTATTGTTTTTTCAAATTTAAGTTGATTGAACATACCACAATTAAGTTGTTAAAAAACCCTCTAGAATTATGTTTATTCAGTTTATTTTAAATATGTAGTTTTAACAAGTAGCAAAAATATATGTGAGTGTGCTCATATATGATTTATTTTGGACTACAATAATATATTTTTTTGGATGAAGATTACACCTTTAGGAGCTTCACAGATTATGAAAGTTATTGCATAAAAAAACATGACGTGCATAAACATCCAGTTTAGTATCTTTCATTTAATAGTAAAATATTGATTCGAATAAATATCGATTTTAAAATCACAAGTTCAATAATTTAGTCAGAGCTATTTCAGCTGAAGCATGAATATGAGTGCCTTGAATAGACTGTAAATCTATTTGCAAAGCCTCTGCAGAATATATATGTCAATGTGCAATCTGACAATTGAAAAAAAAAAAAAAATGGTTAGTAATGGAGTGTGTACAAAAGTAAATAATATCACTTCCCTTCTTTTTAATTCAGAAGTAACAATAGCCACACCAGCATGAGAAGAGTGTTAAAGGAAGTCTTGCGTCTCGGTGCATTTTAGTCCTGTCAGAAAGCAGGCTTTGATCTCTTTCACTCTCCAACACATTTACAACAAACTCTTCTTTTGTATTCTTGCCCTGTCCAGGATCGGTGTTACACAATGCCATGCTCTGCTTTGATGATGAAGTCCTGTTGCTTCATTATAAATGACTAATTATACTCTGATCTGCCCTTTGTAAATGATTCTGACTGATTCATCCACATTATGTCCAGTGATGTGCTGAACTTCCGCTTACACTCAACTCTTAAGCATTAGACTAAGTACCAACTATTCTAAGAAGTTCTATAAAATTTCCAATCACTAAGAGTTTTATTTATCAAACTAAACTTGGTTTATTTTATTTTGTTTAATTAATTCATAATTTTTTAAAGAAATTTTTTTTGAAATTTGTTTAGTAAAACTATATATTTATTTACTCAAAAAACATAATATTATAAATATTTCAGTTTCAATATTAATTTTTCATTTAACTAATCCTGAAAAAATGATTCCATTCTTAAAAATATTAAGCAGCTCAGCATATGGCAGAGGGCACAAAGTTTCAGTGTATTATAAATGTTTAGAGGAAAAGATGGGTTGTAGTTTCTATTCAGCTCTTTGAAACGGTTTAGAGTATAGATCTAAATTGTACATTAAGCGATGAACATTGGAAAAAAATTGCCAAAACAGTAATGTCAAAAATTTAAGAGTACGCTTAATACAATTTAAAATTTTTAATCGTTTTTATTGGTCTCTGAATAGGCTTTTCAGGCATGGGTTGAAGGACTCTGCTGAATGTTGGAGATGTGAAAGCGAAGAAGGAGACTTAATGCATACCCTGTGGTCCTGTTCTAAAATATCGGAATTCTGGATTAAAGTGCAAAATTACATTCAGGATGTTTCTGGATGCTGCCTTTCATTTTGTCCTAACATATATGTACTGGGAAACCCATTCGTGTTGGGATCTGGTGTGAAGATGTCTGAGTGGGTTCAAATAAGTATCATGATTGGAAGGCAAATCATGAGGAGATGGCGTTCAGCAGGTCCACCATTATTTCAAGAATGGGTTATGGAATTGTGGAAGGTGGCAGCATATGAAAAAATGACATATCAATTACTTGATAAATTGGATGTTTATCAGAGAAATTGGGGAAATTTGTTTTTTTTTTTTTCTGGAGGATGAATAAGGTCATTGTGGTGAGACAGGGTAAAAGTGTAATTATCTTATTTGATTTATTTATGTATTATTATTATTGTATTGGTATTGTTTTTATGTATTTTTTATTTAATTATTTTTTTACTATTATTATGTTCTGTATGTTTGTGTTTTTTATCTATTAAGTTTATATTATTTATCTGTATTTACTGGATTTATGATAGCAACATCTAATTACAGTCACTTCAGCTGTCATGGAGGGGAGGGAAAAAGAGGGTGTTAAAAGGAGGTAGAAATGTGTAAACTGATACTGTTTTCAGCATTGATAATAATAATAATAATAATAATAATAATAATAATAATAAATGTTTCTCAAGCAGCAAATGATAAAATGTATTTATTTAACACTTTAACTGTATTTTGATCAAATAAATGCAGCCTTGGTGAGAAATAAACACTAGCAAAACATTGCAATGTATATATTTTATTTATTTAAATATTTTATTTTATATTCTTATTACTAAACTGCCACTGTTCTACCAAGTCCAATAAGATGTCCAGTGAGTTAGTAAGATTTATTTATCTATTATACTTTATATATCTATTATACCAGTATTCTGTGTTGATTCTGTATTGATGTTATGCATTCAATTTAAAACATGCAGTTACAAAAGATTTCAGTTATTCAGAATTAGCTATTTAAATAATCCTGTAAAAAAGAATTCATGGTTCAATAAAAAATAATAATCAGCACAACTGTTTGATAAAAGCATAATAACAATAATGTATGCCTCAAGGCTCGAACAGCAAATTACTAGACGTATTAGAATGATTTTTTAAAGGATCTTGAGACATTAGGACATAAG